CCTGACTATAATCTATCACAGCTGTTGAAAATTTAAAGTTTGAACTAAACACCAAACTTTAAGTTCCTAGTTTTGGATTTTCACTAGCTGGTCTAGATCACACAAAATTCGGCTTTTACCAATTCCAAAGTTTTTGTTTATTTTTGTTATAGTAATATCGATTTAAAAAATTTCAATCCACCGCTAATTGCTGGTGAAAATTTCATAGCGATCGGACAAGGAAAAAAACAGTATTTGAAACACCTTAATAAGGGATATTTATTCATTTTAATCTAGTAGAACCCACTGAATTTTTGCATTACTAATGGCAACACCATCCCTAGGGAACCCCTCCGGATGACGGAACTGTGATTTTTGGTCTTTACCTGGATGGAGCATCATGGGATTTCTCGCTAGGTTGTTTACAAGAGTCATTACCTGGTCAGCGGTTTTATCCTCTACCAGAACTTCACGTCTCTCCCATACAGGTAACTTCTGCTTTGTTTGTTAAGACTACTTTTAATTAATGAATTTAATTGATTAATTAATAGTTCCACGTTGCCGTGTGTATTAAGTTAAGTGATAGATCAAAGATGACGTCAAGATGTGGTAAGAAGAAATAGTAGCCAAAAAAGCCACAGCTGTGGGGGGCTGGTCTTTGATGTTCTTATTACATTTTGAAGTACAAGTGCAAGGCGAAATGGAAACTAGTTTACTCTATGCAATACCGGAAAAGAAACACTAAAAGGAGTGCCTATAAGCACACGACTGGTCGGAGATTTGATCTAATATACTCATTTTGCAAGGCAATAATGCAATTTTTTGTCGCCTTTTTTTGTTAACTTGTCAACAGGTTCTTCTAAACTTTTTTCGGGTCCATCATGGAATAATTTCTGCAAACATCAAAGCTTTGCGCGGTCTTGGACAGAGCAAAGAAAAACAGCTCTTCATCAACTTTGTGTGTACTATGATATATCATATGTAAACGACCGACCACCAAGCACGTTGTATTCTGTATAAATAAAAATTATTCACTGAAGTAAAGGTGCGGCTAGTGGTGTTTAGTTAAAGAGGCGCGAAGCGGCGGGGTAAATACCCACCACTAGCCACCTCCACTTCAGTAAATAATGGTTTTAGTATATACTAAAACAAAGACATAATTGATAACAATGATGATTATTATTTCACTCATTTATTGCTACCAACGATTACAATTTTGGCGCGCAAATGATCGAACGGCCATCATGTTTTCTTGACGATAAATAATGAATTTTGAATGCATTTGTTTGGCTCTTGCGGAGACATTTCTTTAAAGAGAGTTGTGAATTCTTTCTGTATTTCAAATCGTTCTGTGAAAACCATTTAATTAAGTTTTAGGCTTATTTATGAACATGCCAGCCAAATAAAAACACAAGACTTAATTTGCATTTATAAACAAAACACTGTTTCACTGGTTTCATCGATAAATTGAAGTTAAACAAGCATACGTTTTGCCTGTAAAAACTGTCAAACCGAATTTCATCGCCTTCTTCTTCTTGTCAGGAACAGCTTCTTCGCTTGTTACTCGACGGCAGCAAACCGGAAAGCCATTTTGCTCGTTACCTATGAGAGTTTGGCACCGCTCGGAGATGAATAGCACTGGATATCCCGAGTTTGAGTAGCCAATCAGAGCGCGCGAAAAACACTATCCACTGTCCAAATACATACTAAATAACGATAGCTGGTGTTGCGGGTCCAGCCTACAAACCGTTTCATTTGCGTAGTGTTTCTTGTGCATTTCTTTCACACAAGAATTTAATTGAATTTAACAAATAGATTCCATGTTGCCATGCAGTTTTCCGGTGATGTCATCCGTGTGTCTGTATCATGGGCAATGACCAATTACAACGTGCTTTGTAGTCACAACATTGTAAAAATAATAAATAGATTCCATGTTTCCGCGCGTACGTTCAGTGACAGATCTCAGATGACGTCAAAATGTGTTAAAAACAAAAGCTGCACACGAGCCGCAGGCGAGTATGTCATTTAAGTTTTTACCACATTGTTACGTTTTCAGTGATCTTTTACTGGACGCGCGGCAATATGGACTATAAGCTTGCAGCCAACTAAAAGCATACCCTTTTAACTTTCAGCAGACCTCATCCACACCTTTTGACGCAAAAGGAAAGCAAGACAAAGACGAGGAGGAACTCCATTTATACGAGTGTCCGTTGTACAGAACCTCTCTTCGCGCCAGTTCTCTCACTTCCACCGGTCACACAACAAATTATGTCACGGCGGTGAATCTGCCGTCCGTTCAGCCAGCGGATAACTGGATCACTCGTGGAGTAGCTCTTCTCTGTCAGCTAGATGAATGACATTCGTGTGTTAAATTTTAACTTATGTATTTATGCAAGAAACGTTGTAAATACTTTTTACGCTATTTTAAAAAGCGAGAAGTTAGTATTCATATTCAGGGACGTCATAGTTTTAACCCGTTTGCACAGAAACCAAACCACAGGAACCTGCTTTCAAATAGCTTTCATTAGAGTTGTCAGTTTTGCAGACTCGTGAACATTTTTAATATAACTGCAAACCCAGTTGATAGCACATATCTTGAAGGGCAGCTGAACGAGCGTTTGTCCCCCTAGTTGCACAAGTTATCATTGTCGTGGAAACATACAGCCCAAGGCGAATTCATTACGACACTATTGTTTGTTCATACCATTTTACCCAAAGAAGACGTCGCAGAATAATCAAAATAAATTCAAACTTTAGAAGAACTGGATGAACTGTACAATTTTAAGCTATCTACGAACTGTATTGAAGGACTTGGGGAATCTGAGCAAAGGCGTTTTTTAGCGATTCACGTCAGCCGGAAATGAGGCTTTTTTTCTTTTAATACGGCCTTAACGCTACCAAATTTGGAATTGTCAAGTATCTTTGCCTGAAAATTCGGGCAAGAACACTGCCCAAGAATGCAAAAACTCCATTTCTGGTTCACATGCGTCGCCTAAAAACGTCTTTGCTCAAGCTTCCTATAATCAATCAGAAATTTTGAGCTTCGCGTTAAACAGAATTCAGTGATTCCCCGAAATTATTTGGTATACCTGGCTCAAATGTGGCTATGATCTTGATCACTTTTGCTTTTTTGTGGCTTGATCATAGAATGGTGAGGGCATGCTAGTGGGCAAAATGTGTGACGTCCTATGGGACGTCAGGCCCTAACGAGTTTGAGTTTGAAACTGGATATTTATCCCCTGTCTCCTCTGAAATCAATGTTTCGTCAAGCCCTTTCAGTCGTTTACTGCTTCGATTTACGAGACCGGCGACAAAAGAGGTCCTACTGTATATGCCGTACTCTAAAATAACGAGCTTTAACATTTAACTTTAGGGACATTATGCTTCAAGTCCAACGGCAAGGTGGCAGTGAAAGATTCTTATTTCGCGCAAGATCAGATATTCCACACGACTACGGGAAAGCGGCGTTTTCAAAAATTTTAACTCCCATGATAGCGTTTCCAAAAATTGAGATTTCGGTGACCGGCGTGTTTTAATATCTTATGCGTGTCAGTAGACGGGGCTTGCGTAGTCACTGTACGGTGTTTTCCCAGGTCCCCTCGGTCAATATGTTTTGGTTACTTGGGGGACAGACCACGTGGCCTAAACGCATAGGCCGCGCAGAGTGGTGCCTAGGGAGGAGGCCTCAGTTGCTCATGCTCAGTTCTAGGACAGAACTCGAATACCCCCGAATTTACAAAGAAGTCCCAAGTTAAGATATCATGTAAGCATTGTTTACTTATAATGGCCTATTGCTATGCGACAATGTTTGAAATAAATCTTAGCGGCCCAAGATAGCTTTGTACATCTAATAAATCCTGGCCCAGCTGATGTCTATTACCGTGGTTTCACTCCAACGTGTTTAACAAATAAAATATGTTATCCACATATATTTTGTTCCCTCGTGATTTTTCTGTCATCTATTTTTCTGTTTTTTCTATGCTTTACATCAAGACAAAAAAAAATCTGTCTATAACATGATCGTAAAATTCATTTTTTAATATTATTTTTTGACTTACAATTTTTACAGTGTCCATTTAACAAAGAAAAAATTTGTTTACAAAGATTTCTCTAAACCACTGAAACTCTAACTGTAACTTACATAACTTACGAATTTAATTAAACGATACATTATCCATTGCCATATTATATTTCATATTTAGATAATCTGGCAAGGCCAACGAATTTAAAGTGGTATTACTGGGACCTGGCAGGTTTTACATTTTAGATAGAGGGAGATACCAAAGATCACCTAACACTCTCACAGTTTTGCTTGATGAAGACTCCGTTTATACGAATCTGCACTTATTTCATGCCAAGCCAAGAGCAAGACCTTGGTGAGACTCAAAAAGAAGAAAGGGGTTTTTTTTCTCACACCAGATGGAATTCTATGAGGCCACTTACGCTTATTAAGGTTCTTTGAGATCTCTGTATGAAGGTTTTTAAGGATGTTTGAGAATGTCTTTTATGTCAGTTGAATGGTAGATGCTCCTCGGAACACTAAACACCCGCCTAGCACTGTAAACAATCCCTTAACTCATTATCACGAAAATACTTGCACACCGTGTATTTGTTATGATGAAAAGTCAACGGTGGTACTAGATTCAGTTTACTAAAAGTACCAGATCCTTCAGAAGTTTGTATTGGTATTGAAGCCCAACTGAGGCAACTCCCTTTATTTATTTATTTTTGTTTTTTATTCATTTATTTTCTTGCACTCTCTCTCTCTTTTTTTTTTTTTTTTTTTGGGGGGGGGGGGGGGCAAAAGGGAAACACGGAAGTGGAGTCTGGTACTTTTAGTTAAACGACGCCATCGCTTACTAAAACCCTAAAACTAGTCAGAAAAAAAATGTTGAAACACAGGAATAATTACAAAAATAACTATCAACCTTAAAATCTCGGTTAAAATATTAATTATGACCTTGGGAGCTAAACTTTTCATCAAATGTTTTTCAGCGTTTCTTATTTTTAGCGTGGGGTTTTCAAATGAGATTGTGTTTTTGTCCTTCATCATTTGCCATGTTTCCTTGCCCACTTTGTTTAATTTCCTTTTCCAAGGGTTGAAAATTAGAATCCATTGCCGACTGAACCCTACCAGCTGTCGGATGATCAAGATGGATGCTTGAAAGGGGAAACTTGACCAAACTTTGCTGGTCCAACAGAGTTTGTCCTTCAGCCTGCTTCTGAATACCAGGCAATTTTTTGTTCTTGTTTAGACGGAACTGTCGAGAAACTGAGCGTCTGTTTGTCATTTCTTTTGGTGTTGATGGTGGTTTTGGTACCAGTGAATTCTGCGTCGGTGGAATGCTTGGCAGTGAACGATTGATCATTTGCGTCGGTTTCCCAGGATTTCTTTTTGGTGTTGACGGTGGTCTGGGCACAACTTGTTGGTGGGTTGTTAGGATATTCTTCAGGGGTCGAATCAATGTCGAACATTTTCGAGTACCTACAGGAAGTGCGCCTCGTTGTCCCTTCGGCGTTGGTGGTGGTCTTGGAATCATTGTCTCTTTGATTGACGGAATATTCGGCAAAACTGCTTTCATGCTCGGTAAAGAAGCTTTTCTTTTCTCCTTTGGAGGTTGAAACAATGTCTTGCTTCGCCTAGCTAACGTTGCCCGAAGGCGCGGCATCTCATCGACTTCGTTATTAGACAACCATTCATTATTGCCAGCTGGTGACAGGCTCGGGCGAGACCGGTTCACTTCAATGTTTTGCAAAGTTTTTTCCGTCATAAATATTACGTCGTCCATTTCCTCCTTTTTGGCTGGTTTGGCATTGTTTTCTCTGACTTTTTGCTTTAGTTTCGGCTGCTTGTATTTGCTCTTTTTGATACTGTGCAACTTTTTTTCGCCGGATCCGTTATCAGTCTTAAGCGCCTTATCTTGCCATAAATGGTTCTCTGCGAACTCCAGACTGAGGTCAGGTGATCTTTCTTTTTCCGGTAGCAATGGAGACCGTCGCTCTTCGATTGTCGGTAGAGACGGCTGCATCCGTTTTCGGAACTCAGCTCTAAATTTTGGCAAAGGCTTGGAGACAACACCAGGTTTGTTACTCGGCAGAGCTTGATTTTTCGTAGGTGTAGCATTCGGTAAGGTTAGTTTTTCTTTGGGTACCGTAGATAAATTGTTTTCCTCAATAAGCTGAGCAATCGGTAAAACTTCTTCATTAATTGTCGGAAGACTGAACAAATGACTCACCGAAGCTGCACCACGCAAAACTTTTTCTGGGTGAATGGTCCACCGAAGAATTTCCTGGACAATTTGTGGTAAGCAAGGTAAAACTCTATGAGGCTTCTGTCGCACTTTCCTAATCTCATTTACAGGAATTCCTCTTTGTGTCTGCCTCGGGAAGTTCTTCGGCAATTCTCGGTTAACCGTCGCTTCGATATCCGGTAAGTTTGTCAGTGAAACTTGGACGTCTGAACTTCTGGGAATCTCTGTAGCAGGTGAAGAACAGCTCGTCTTAGATTCCGCATTATTTTCTCTAATATTTTCAGTCGCTCGAACCATTGTTTTACTTGATGTCTCTCCACTTTCACTCATCTTCAAAATTTCTTTTAAAACGTTTCTCTCGTGATAAAGCCTACACTTTTGCTCTTTTCTAATGCATCGAACTGCTCCTTCAAATTTTCAACAAAGCAACTGAAGTTGTCATGGAATTCGTCTGTAGCGTAAAGCTAACCATTGATGACGAAAAGCGCGCGCTGAAAATGTTTATTGCTGACTGTTTGCGTGGTTGTTCAACAGAAACTCAAAATTTAAAGAAATTTGAGATAAACTGCGTATAAACAGAATTGGTCAAATTTTACCTAGGAAATAATCACTGAACAGTAATATTATAGTTTCCTTTTGTGCCAAATAATGTTAAAGTTTCTTTGTCTTAAGGTTATGTTGGTGACTGATTTACTGGCAAATAAGTGCACGGGCAGACTGGCGAATCAGAGAGCGAAACCTTTCCAGCCTTGCCCACATTTTAGGCATCCTACTAATGAAAAGTTACCTCACTGCGATAATTTCGGCAACAACCACTATTTTCGGCATGTCTCTCCCCTTTGAGTTGTGAATTTACCTCAAGGCGTGCTAGGGTATTGGAAGTCAGCTGTCATAGTCGTCTCAGACGTTTAAACCCTTTGATGATAGAGAGATTTAGAACCACGTTTATACGTCAAAAGGCAAACGCCAGGTTGCCGTTTGGCGTTTGGCGTTCTGGTGAAGCCATTCTTCGTCTGGTCATATTACATACAAACGTCCTATAGGTTAAATAAGGCCAATACAAACCTTGCAATTCAAGTTAGCATTTTTGATGTTAGATCCTGTGACCCGTTTCTTGAGAGTCCCGGTAAATTTTAGAGGCGGAAATCAAGTCGTTTCGCAAATCAAAAGCTAAGGAGTAAGAGCACCGTCCTAGATCATAAACCTGTCCCTTGTATTGTTAACTGATAGTTTTCTCACGTTGTGAACTAAGATTGATTTAAAACTCTATCTTAGTAAGCAAAAACAGATTTCCAGCACGTTAAAAAACCGGAACTTTCGGCGGGAAACCGGCCCCTGGATATGGTTCTTTGTTAAAGATAGATTTGGTCCTGAAAGACAAAAAAAAGGAAGAAGAAGTATTCAAGAAAATAGTTTTTGCATGTTCTGTTAAATGAAAACAAGGACATCTTCTAAATAAACTTGCCATAGAGACAGAGAGTTGAAAATAGTAAAGAGTTGTACTTGTACGACTGTTAAATTTTCACTGCTTTGCCCACCACTCGTCGGTCAGTTTTATAACTTTTTCTGTCGTGATTCTGATTTAGAATCACCGTGCTCGTTTAGAGAAAATGTGAAAAGCAGTTAAGTTTTTCAAGGGCTTAGCTCTACGTTTTTGAGCTTATATGGACAAGCATACTGTCGCAACTTTATCATTGTAACGAAAAAAAAGTTTTAAGGGTAACTCTTTCTTCATTGTGATAAGCGACAACGTGCACTTGCTTTTTTTTACTATTTTTGAGCCAGTTGTGTCAAAAATAATCGTTACTGATGACCAAGCAAGAGACACGTTTCGGTCAATAAAAACGAAAAAAAAGCAAGGACGATATCTTGTCATCTCGTTGAACAAGCTTAGTCAATAAAAGGATTTATTTCGCCTGTTTAACAGACTGACAAAGTAACGACAGTGATGACGTAGCGCCGAAAGATGTAAAAATCAAAGGGCGGTGAATTGAGCACCGAAAATTGAATTCAGTCCTTTCCGATCCGCGCACTTTCCCGTAATCATTTGAAGTAGACTTGTCCACAAGTCGAGCTCAAATTTTTCTCGAGCGTGAAGCGCGAGCGGGAGATTTTTTGTTTTTGTTTTTTTTTTTGCAGCAAAACTGAGCGATGAGAGGCGAAGGACTTGAGAATGTCTATCATTTGACGCTGGGATGTCTTGCTAAAATCTGCCTATGGGCAAGAGAAGTTTTTGTTACGGTACAAACGCGGGAAATCCGAGTGGGAAAGTTGGGCTCATCCTGCCCACTTGGATAGTTAAACCTGCGACTGAACACAAGATTCACCAATTCATCTTGTCCACAACCTGAAGCAGCCATATACTGGTTTTTACATCAAGGGGATCAAGACCTGCCGATTAGACTACGAGAGAATGATCAAAGTTTACTTTTTCCACTAAGAAAACCTGAAAAATGCACGATATGTGTCACATTCAGCTGCGTGCCGGATAGCCATAATTGCGAGAAAAACTAAAAGAACGTTTAAAGTTGCCTTTTTGCACTCTGTGAACCTAAAAATTATATATATTTAATATAAATATATATGTCACATTTCTGCTGCGTTCTCTTATTTGAGCTCCCCGAGTAAAACTTTGTCGAGGGACTTTTCTTAGTCTTTTTTTTTAAAAAATGTACAGCGTATGTTTTTCCTCTTGTGCGTACCGAATAGAGTGGCATGTGACGAACAACGAGCTACCTTCCGTTTTTCAGTATAGGTCGTTTTGTTGGTGAATTTGTCCGAATTTTACTTTCCTTTTCCAGTGTGTATGTCTTGATGTAGTGATTTGACCCATTACATACTTTCAAAAAATATATTAAGCGGCCTTAATGCCAAGATGACGTGTCATACATAAAATCCACGAAATCCCGCAAAGAATGAAAAAACCGCAATTTGTCCACTTATCCTGATTTTCCAGTTTTCTGTGCTTCTGGCATTGCATTCTGGGACACAATTGGCGGTAGAGATCAACATGGCGGAGGCTCAATTGCTTCTCGGTAAAGAAGTTGCGAGGTAAAGTACATCTTGCTTGATTGTATCAGCAGTCCAAGGATACAGCATTTTTTGCTTTAAATTTGTTTCATCTTTATTTCGCTTTGGTAGTTTTCCAATCAATTTGCGACTGTTTAATGAAGTGTTATTGTGTTCAAGCATGGTTTCATCACGTGGAGCTCAGAGGGCGCCATGAATTTGTTCAAAAGGTGGATAGCGCTATCGGTATCCGCGGTGTAAATCACTATCCTCTAGATAGCGCAATTGGTTTCCCTAAAATTTATCCACTGAAAAGTGATTTCTGAAAAGCTATATCTAAAGCTTGTTCCACCCGCGAAAATCATCAGAGTCATGGTCCTCCTCAGTAGGAGGGCAGTCTAAGGGGCGAATACAAGAGTTCACGTAGGGTAAGAGTGTGGTGATCAGGCTGTCGTATTCAAGAAATTCCTCAGGCAGCATTTGGAAAGTATTTGAGCGTGGCGAATTTTAGGTTTTGAGACATATATGCCCCTGTAACAGGTATAAAACCGTGAGGGGGGGGGGGGGGTATAAAACATGCACGACTGCGGACTTGGTATAAAATGGGGACTGAGTATAAAACACAGTATAAAAACTAGGAATTGGGTATAAAACACAGACTAGGTAAAAAAGGTGGATCATGAGATGGCACTAGAAAGGTAAAAATATGAGGTAAACAAATTGAGGATTAGCATCAAACATTTGTCCTCACCTCCCCCCCCTGCTCTCATGACACACACAAACATTCTTTGGGCTCTTCACACAATGTCCCCTTCCAAGCATTTGTGGAAAAGGAAAGTTACCAGAAAACTGTCTTTGGGTAAACAGGCCATAGTTTTAGAAATAAGTTACCAAGGCAAAATGACAAGACAAAAGAAAGTTGCCTTATTATCTGACAAATTGAATTTTACAGTGAGATTCGACAGAAATTGAAGGAGGATGTTGATGCAATCAGAGCTGAAAATGAGGGGTTTAAACCTGGACTTGCCATTGTTCAGGTAACATGTGCATGGATTGATACTGTTTTTCAATGTTGGTATTGCTCTTATAAAGTTAAGGTCGTAAATTAAGATTCCTGAAGTATCAAATGCGTAAAATATGCAACGGGTACATGTAATAATTGAAGTGGGTAAATTTATTTTAACTGAATTATTTAATGTTATTAATGTCAACTTTTCATTTACAGGGGAAAAGTTAGCCTTTTCCACTGAGTTGGTAGACGTAGATTATCACTATGAAAGGATCAAGCTATAAGCTGTATGAAGTCCTTCTCAAATAGACCTGGGTTGTAACGTTTACAACCGAGGCCCTTATTCAAGGGATTTGTATAGGGTATCGAGAATAAGGGAGCTTATATCTCTCCTATAATTTGCACTAATAGGCTGATTTTCAGAGAGGGAACTTTTTTCATCTTGCTGTTTCTGGATGTCCCAACCAATCCCAAAAGTTTTATAAGTGTAGTTTTTGTGATGTCATCACTTCTCATTTTTGTTTGTAGAATTGCATATTTATGAGTAATAATATACACTTAATGTCAGATCCCGAGGGAAACAGTTAGTTTTGTTTTCCCAAGAGTCCCGATGTTTCCCTAGATGAAGTCGAGGGAAACATCAGGACTCGAGGGAAAACAAAACTAACTGGTTTCCTGAGGGACGTAACATTAAGACTAGTGTTTTGTTATATATTTCTAGACTTTCACTCCAACGTACTTCAACAGCAACAAAAGAATACGCTTAAGAGGAGCGAATCAAAACAGTATGACTCGGTACTTATAAGAACACAAATTTAATTCTCAAAACCACTGAATGAATGGTTTAAAAAGTACTTTCCTTACATTACCTGCATCTTTTTCCTCCACTAGCTGCTGTTTCTCTTCTGGGATAACTTTGAAAATCGTTGCTTTTTAGCTTGAGGTTTCATGTTTGTGTTATTGTGAATGTTGTTGTGTTCATTCACGAAAAAGAAAACTGGCAGTGTTTTTCCTGCCTTCTGTCACGCCACTTTCCACCATGCTTGATCACGTGCTGTAATGTATCCCGAGCGGGGTACATTGCTTGATGTATCACGATCGGGATACATTTGATTTTAGTCAAGGCCACGTGACCAAGAATCAGCTAATGGCTGTCCCTGTTCAGTTGAGTGAAAGTCTAGAAATATAACAATGTTTTATGTCTTGCAATAATATATTTTTTTAATGTGTTTTTCGCCAGATTGGTGACCGGAGTGATTCAACTGTGTACATTAAATCTAAAGTGAAGGCAGCTGAAGAGGTTAATAAAGGCCCATTGTTATTTTTCATTAAGTCTGGGCATGAAATTAACCTTTCCCAGGAACCATGTAGCTCCTAAATATTTCAAAGCGCTGGCCAATTCCAAAATGTTTGTCTCCAGGTATTTTAAAAGTGTAAATTTAAACAAATATAAACAAAGAAATAGAAGATAGTTTGCTCTAGTTTTAGTTTAAGAGCTAGACCTGCCAAAATTAGGATTTTTTTATGAAATGATTCTAGCAGGTAAGCATTCACTAAGAAAAACATTCATTGTACATTCATTGTATCTCAACGTAAGCTAAAGGAACACTACATGGGACCATAATTCTATAAAATGTATATTGTAAATACGTGAAAACTAAGGTGGCCTACAGTAATAGAGTTTCTTCATGAAGCATTTGCTGATGTTCTTAAACAAACAAGATCTTTTAGTGGTCATCATGGTATATATTTGTTTTAACCCAGGTTTGAGTATTCATGATAAAAACTTCCATTTGCCAGCCCAAGTTGGTGATTGATCTTTAGGATTTGGTTGCTTATGTGCTTAAACTACTGGCATTGACACCAGTATCAGGTGCATTTTCATGCCCTGTAACTAGTTATTGGTACAATGATACACGTTATGCCTGTTGGAACCTGTCCATATTTTTGCAGTGTACATATACCTTATGATCTGTAAACTTTTAAAATTAATGTTTTACAACACATTGTACACAGGCATTAATTACCAAAAGCATTTGCAAGCTTGCCTAATTATCTGTTAATTTATCCCCTTTCATGGAATTTAATCTCTTTTCTTGGAGTTTATACTTCCTTGAGTTTCTGGAATATTATAAGTGTATGTGTAGTTATGATATATAATATTATTATTATACTTCGTCTGCAGATTGGTATGTTTGCAAGGCATGTGAAGCTCACAAACACTTCCACACAAGCAGATGTAAGTGCATAGTTCTTAGTTTTATATTAAAATAGTTAACATAATCTTATACGTGGAAATTGTGTGAGCATGAAAACAGAACCCTTATCCTAAAGAAACAACCAAACTGTATGAAACAGAGAAAAACTTTTAAAAAGGCAAAGGAATTAACCTAATTAAAATAATGAATTCAATAACTCATTTTATTTTAAGCAGAAGTGATATCCACTTAACCCAGATGCTATTTCTTTAGTCTTTTGAGAGGATAATTTTCGTCTACAATGTTCGCTAAATTAATTGTCATTTTTAAGCTTCTTTTTATTTGCGTGACTTCATGTACAAGCACTCTATTACATGTGTTGTGTATTGTTCTGGGTATCAGTTTCAGTTAAAAGTAGGTTGAGTTTGATCGTCCGGATGAACGTAGTCCTGAATAGGACTGTTGTTGTTGACAGTGACTGACGTTTCGCCAACCTGTGCGGTAGTCATCTTCAGAGTGAAAGTTGAGTGGTATTATACTCTGGTTGTTGCTCTGATTGGTCAATTATGTTGCTATGTTATTGGTCGTCTGTCAGTTAAGCCATGATGTTATTGGCTATGAAGACTCGTAATCAGTAATTGGTGCGTTTCGATCCATCTATGGTCACAGTTAAACAGTCGTCTATTGTTAGTCAAATTGTCATTCTCTTGTAGTTAGTTTTGCTTGATCTCATCAATAAGTCGTTTGTACGGTGCTGGTAACTGTTGGCTACGATTCAGTGGCGTTTGTTCTAAGTTATTAAACCACCTTTCTAAAGTAAAACGTTGATAGTAGTCTGTAGAATACGTTATACATGTCGCAGAGTCCCAGTCAATTTGATGTTTCGTCTTCAAATGGTGCTCAGCAATGTGATTGTTGACGTCACCATTCTTCATCGCTCGTTTGCGTTCGGTAAGTCACGTGCTTAGGTTTCTGCCGGTTTCAGCAATGTAAGAAGCCTGGCAGTTGCAACATTTGATCTTGTATACTGCTCCCTGTCTGTCCTCCGGTTTGTCTTTGTCCTTGACATTAGTAAGCAGTCGCCGTAAAGTGGTTATTGGTTTGTGTGCAACATGTACATTGTAAGGGTGTAATATACGTGCAATACTCACTTTGACTCTGAAGATGACTACTGCACAGGTTGTCGAAACGTCAGTCACTGTCAACAACAATAGTCCTATTCCGGACTACGTTCACCTGGACGATCAAACTCAACCTACTTTTTCACAGTTTCAGTTAAGTACACTCTGTTAGGTGTTCTTGTATTAGTATCATATAAGTCGGAATAATTCATTTGAAAATGTCAGAGCGAATGTCAAAATTGAGATTTCTCCTATACCATAGCATGTTGGTCTGGATTTGGGATTTTTAAGGAAAATTGGGAGAATCTGGGCAAGATGGGAATAGTTGGACATTCTGAGAACTATCCAGAAAAGTAAAGAGCAAACTGACTGTACATGTTCTGACATTTGTTCACATTGTCTCTGGCCCATGCAGGGCTTCTGATATTTTGCGGAAAAAAATGCAAAATTTTGCGGGATTTTCAGGGGCAAATTCGCGGAAAAATCGGCCGTTTTCGCGGGAAAAAAGTCAAAACTTGCGGAAAAATTGGCCGATTTCGTCGGATTTTCGCAGGAAAAAGTCAAAATTCGCGGAAAAATCCGCCGATTTCGCGGGAGAAAAGTCAAAATTCGCAGGAAAATCGACCGATTTCGCAGCATTTTAGCGGAAAAGGTCAAATTTCGAAGGATTTTCAGGGGCAAATTCATAGAAAAATCGGCCGATTTCACGGGGAAACTTCGCCAAGAAACAATCAGTAAAAAACAGCCGATTTCGCTGGTTTTTTTTTGGCAAATTTCGCTAAAAACCATCAATTTTGCGTCGATATGACCAGCGTTGTGTAACGTTTTTTTAACAGGGATAATCATTTGCTCCTTCAACAACAGTTTGCTCGAGAAATGAGCGAATGCTAAAGTTGTTTACATTGTGGTTAGTGCCCAGTTTTTCGCAACGTTCATCTAAGAACGCCTGTTAGTGTTGGGACGTTGTTTACTTGTTGCAGTGATGAAGTTTCAAGATAAATTTGGACATTTGGGGTGAATAGAAAAGGTCTAATAGCCAAGATAAGTATTAAATATGTTTTGCCAACATGTATTTGGAAATATTTCTTGCGGATTTCGCGGTATTTCGCGTTTTTTGGGGAATTTCGCGGGATTTCGTGGAAATGCCTGAATTTCGCGGGTCCGCGACGGCGCGAAATATCAGAAGCCCTGCCCATGATTTACTGTTAAAAAGCAAAGCTAATGCAATCAGCATTATCAAACCCCATGTCCTCCACCTTAAGTGGCTTTTGAGTCGAGCAGTTATTTGGATGTTTTGGAAGTGGACAGAGTAAAGTGACCTAGTGTTAGTAAATATTGGTGAATTTAGAATTGATCATTGATAATGTCTGATTATAAAAAAATTGGCTAAGATTAAACGGCTGTAGGACATGTACATGTGTATGTAATGCACTATTACATGTCTTGACGGTTATCTCTCTATGTGTGTTAGGTTTTGAAAGCTGTGGATGAGCTAAACAAGGATCCATTAATTCATGGCATAATTGTACAACTTCCACCTGATTCCTCTGAGCCAATTGATCCTGGGATATGTACAAATGCTGTGGCTCCAGAAAAAGATGTGGATGGGTAAGTATTTGCCAGCTTTGAGTTACATGTAAATAAATGTCTATTTTGAGTACGGTATGTTAGTTTTACTTTGTTTTGGCTAGTTGGTAACCAGAAAACAGCTTGACCTGCTTCAAACAGCACTTTTCAGCAAAAGCATCCAGGGCAAAGGGGTTAGGCATAGTAAGAGAAAAAGGCTAATGGTCAAGGCAATATTTTTCAGTTGAATTTGTCAGTGAATTTGAAGTTGAATTTATTTCCTTTAATTATTATTTCAGGCTCCATGATGTAAATGCTGGGAAGTTGTCCAGAGGAGAGCTTAATGACTGCATTGTGCCTTGCACTCCCAGAGGCTGCTTAGAGTTGATCAAAAAATCAGGTACACTTTATTTTGACTGCTAATAAACTACCACTGTAGATTCTTCTTTCAAATTGATTTGAAACCAAGGGGAGAAGTAATAAGAGTAGGTAGTGTACATGTACAAAATCGTAAATGGCTATGCCTTTTTGTATTAGCATAAATTGAGACTGGTCAGACATGCATATTACAAAGTGCAGAAGAGCTATTACTCAACACTTTTTTTATTTTTGCTCTGTAAATATGAGAATGTCTCTCTCAGTGGCAACACGAGGAACAGGTAATCACTATCCAGTTTTAGTGTAATCTACATCTACATTTTATTACACTCGTAAAGCTGATTAGACATCACACCAACTTTTTGTAAGAAATAGAACACAAGGGAAGTAGCTAAATGGAAAAGGTGAACCTACATGTATATATGTATGTACAGATATTAAAAGAAATATATTGAAATAAATATAATTACTAAATGCAACATCCTAGTCATGTGTCTCAGTCATGTTTAAGATAATTTACTAAATTTGTTGTTAAAACAGTTCAGTGACTTGTACAACCTCTGAATGAAAAGAATTCCATTCACATACGGATCTTGAAGAGAACTTGAATACGTCCTTGCTAATTTTGGGTATTCCATACTTAAGCGCATGTGGCTCCTATGTGTTCTGGTCTCGCTATTCAGCACATGAAATTTTTCTGTTTTAATAATTTTTATTGACTATTTTCAAATCCCCCATAATACACTCTGTCTGCCCCCCAAATTTTGCATAAATTATTGTCTTAAAATGCTCTTGGGAAAATGCAATACTCCCAGGAGCATTTAAAAACAATGGTTTATGCAAAATTTGGGGGGCAAACAGAGTGTATTATGGGGAATTCGAAAATAGAGAATAGTCAAGACTATGACAAAAAAATACATTAGTGTTATCTGTTTTTCTTTCTTCTCATTTCTAAAGTATCCCATTCCAGCTCTCTAAGCATATCTGTAATGCTCTAGCTGTTCAGTTGAAGTTCTGGAGGCAAAAATTGCTGCCTTTCTATGAACTCCTTCCAGTGTGTACACATCTTTCTTGTAATGCGGGTCCCAAAAGGTGCCCACGTACTCTAGTTTAGGTCAAACAATGGAGCAAAATGCAGATTCTTTCACATTCTTGGGGTAATTCCAGAGATTACGTCTAATCAACCCTGGGGTTTTACTTGCATTTCTTGATTCAAGAAGCAATATGCTGGAACCACTTCACCTTGCTACTTACGATAACCCCTACATTGTAGATACGAGATAGATTCAACTTGATCAAGTTCAGTTCCACAAAATGTGTACTTTCTCATTGGTGGATTTTGTTTCGTTGAGATTCATAATACATTTGAGGGGTTGATTTCCGTTTGCCATCGGTGCTGCTATTCCTCTAATTTGTGCAGATATTCCTGTAGTTGATTGCAATTTGCATCGTTTGTGAGAATACCATACCACCATGCACCATCAGCAAAGAGTTTGACTTCAGAATGCAGTCAATTGGGCAGGTCATTTACATACATCAAGAATAGAAGAGGGCCCAAAACTGTTCCCTGTGGGATCCCACAGTTAATGAGGGAAGCTTTAGATACCCCTTCTTCCCAAATACCTGTTTGGTGACGCCCGGTTAGAAAAGATTCAAATCAAGTGGGCTTCATGAATTCCGTAATATAAAAACACTTGCATCAGATGCCCTCAGCAAAGCTCAGCTCAATCCTTCTAAAATTTACGGAGAAAAGCGATCCTGAAGTTGCTAGAGCAGCTTCTCACATGATTGGATATACAATGTATGCAAATGTCTAAAAGATCGATGCTCAGATTTCAATAACAACAACAGCTACACAAACAGTGAGTGGTCTGCCTGCGCTGGTACTAACTTCAGTTATAAGAGCACCTGTGGTACTTTTAGATAACTGTATTGTTTTTACAGGAACAGAGATTGTTGGCAAAGAAGCTGTTGTTTTGGGAAGGAGCAAGATAGTTGTAAGGAAACATTTAATTTTTTCTGTTTCATACCATTCTACGTCACTGCAGTCAACTTTGTTGATGGGCACTTCCATATGATTAACACCTTTCTAAACATAATTGGTTCCTTGAGTTCATTTCCACCACTCCTCCATCTATAACTGGGACTGCATACCAGTTAATCTGTGGTGTGTTGTTCATCTTACGAATAGTTGCAGGGCTCGACACTAACTTTTGACGTAACTTGCCACTGTGGAAAGTAGATATGAAAATTTACTTTCCATAGTAAAATTTTACTTTCCAAAAATGAAAGAAACATATTTTCCACTATCCATAATAGAAACATAACAAAATTAAGACTCTGTTCTTCCTTGTATTGCAGCCATGGAAACTCCTTAAGTCATTCTTTTCTAAACCCACGGCCGACCATCTTCCTCTTTTCTTTGTATTTGTCTCGTGGCATCGCTTGCTTCAAATATGCTCCAGCTGTTTGATTTTCAGTCTGTTCTCCTCCTTTGTTGCTTTCTTGGTCAACTTCATCAATCTTTTTGGAGTTTCCTTTGTTAACCTCACCCGCGCGCTTAAAACACTCATATTTTACTAATCCGCATGTGAAAGGCAAAATGGCGAGCACGGTCGATTGCATCATCTATTTCGTACCCAGGGTTTCTCGATCTGTCACTGACGATTCCAAGATGGCGGAGATAGAAAAACGCGAAACTTAAACGTTTAGCAAGGAAGCTCACTTGTAATAACTAAACACATTCGTTTTCTTTTCTTTTTCATTTGGCTGTTTAAAAAAAATACTTTCCCGCATTGTCTAGAAGTAGTTGCCCGATCGGGCAAGTATTTTCGGTTCATTTGCTTTTTTTACTTTCCACTCAGAAATATTACTTTCCAGTGGTGAACGGGTAAGTGTTAGTGTCGAGCCCTGAGTTGACTGATTTTTTCCCCTTGCCACTGTTATCAGCACCTTAATGTACAATACTTATAATACTTATCTTTGCTTATCATGCAGGGGTCTCCTATGGCTGATCTTCTAAAATGGCATCATGCTACAGTTACAACATGTCATTCCAAGACGAAAAACTTGCCTGATGTGGTAGGTACTGCAGGGTTGTCCAAAGTAGCCGGCTGCGGGTGAAAACCCCCACCTACGTGGTTAGTTTCAGCCAACTACTCTGGTTGGCATTTCTTTACGGATGGCGTTTTTTAAATAAAATATCCTTGGACTGGCCGCTTACTTTGACAAGTCAGTCATCAACTTCAAAACTTTCTTACAACCTTGGGTACTGTATTCCTTTGTACATACACTGGTGTTTTGTATATTGTGTTTATGGTCATCTTTTAAGATCCACAACTTGGAACCATTCATTTAAAATCTTATGATAACCTTTTTGGTAAAAAATTATCTAAAGATCTTATGAACCTTAGAATCCACAGGTCAAACTGCAAGTGAAAAGTGAGAAAAAGACCAAAAGATGGAACCCTTGTGAAAAAAATATATTATACTGAACTAGACTTAGTGAATCACTATTTCCATTATTTCCAATAAAAACGTTTCTTTTTCAGTTGTGTAGTCCTTAAATCAGGGATATCACTAAGATTTCAAGTTGCCAGTAGTAGGTGGGGAACGGAACAGACAGGGAGTTCTTTTGGTGTTATTCTCCTTTTGTTGCCTATGAAAATAGCCGGGGGGTCTTGCTCATAAGCACAGGCAAAAATAACGGATTCCCATTTTTGGATATTTTAGGGTATTTAAAGAATACCCATAAAAATCCCAAATTTGGCAAAGTGAGACAAGTCCCAACCAGGGAATTCCCAACCAAGTTCCCTGATTGGGACTTGTCTCACTCTTCCAAATTTGGGATTTTTGTGGGTATTCTTTAAATACCCTAAAATATCCAAAAGTGGGAATCCGTTATTTTTTCCTGTGAAGTAGCCTGGGGAAATCTGCAGCCCCCGGGACTTAGTGACAGCCCTGCTTAAACTAAATTCTTTTTGTTGGTTAATATCCATACTTTGTTAAGTCTTCACTGGAAGGATAACTGTACTGTTTCTTTTGTTGGTTAGGTTAGAAGAGGTGATATAGTGGTTGTTGGTATTGGAAGGGCTGACTTTGTCAAAGTAAGTACATACATGTAGTATGCATTGTTGATGTCCCAAAGTGGAATTGAGTTGCTAAACATTCAATCAGAGTCAGTTGCACCAAGCTTTTCTATTAGGACATCAGAATAATAATCAAGCAAACACCAGTGCCATATAATTTTTTCAAACCTTAACTCTTTGACACGTAATGGTTTTTGATCTTGACAATGTTGTTAGAAACATCAAAAAGTGGAATGTATTAGTATTAGTGTTTTTTTCAATTATTGCACTATTTCATGCAAATAAATGTTCTTATAGCCAAGCACCGGGAAATTTTTCAGTTATTAGAAAAAGATATAATAATTATTGGCTTAAATACACTTTTAACAACCACCTCGTGGAGTGGAAGTTGTGTACCTGAGATATCCAGGGGCTTCCTTTATTGGCAGCCAGCTCCTAGAAGAAGACTGCTCCAATGGCTGGCAAATTCTAGCAACCCAGCCATGAGCCCCCATGCCAAGCCTTGGAGGCCAAGGCCCAGAGAGTAAGCAGGCTAATGGCTGGTGGAAGACAGAGCCCCGATAAGAATGCGCGAATCTGACGACACTCAACAAAGCTAGACAAAGGAGTAGATAAGCACCGTACATTGTCCACCAGAGAACATACATACAGTAAATAATATATGCTTTGCTTGACCGGTGGCCCTTGATTTTAATGAGATGGTCTGGAATTCCAGGATTAGCAGCAGTAGTTGCAGCTCCAATTCTAAAGCTATGATCAGAAACATTTCCATGGACACCTGCTGACAGTAGGGTAGTTTGTAGAACAGAAGATAGCAGGGTTCTAGAAAGGGGGTGCCACCCTTGTATAGAAAAAGAGGGCATTGGTGATAAAGAGAAAGGTAATTTATCAAGGAAAACGCTGGACAGAGAGGGATGGAGCCACGGCTAAGGAAGATGAAGCAGCCCTTCCGCAAGGGATCTGTAGTGGAACAATTACTTAACACACAGACACTTTGAGGATTCAAGGGGGAGTTAAACTGTTCGTCAGCCAGAGTCAAGTGCAGTAAGTTTACCGTGGATTCACTGGCTCTTAGGGGGCCAACACGGCAGCCAGCCCAAAGTGTGACATTGGCAGGAGTTGTGAGGTCCAAGGACCTGTGGTGTAGGAGAGACATGAGATCCGCTATCACCTGCTGGTGCTAAGGAGAACTTGAATCCTGGTGTTGTCTAATTTCTTGTAGGAGATGTTGAAGTTGAAGGTAATTGGAGAGTGGGTCAAGAAAGCTATAGTCAATATGTAAAAAATGAATTGCGGATAGGAACACTTTGATGGAAGAATGATGAAGCTGATCTGCTCATTGAGCACAGTGCAGCCATATAATATCCTCTATGTCCCGCCATTTTATGCATAACAGATAATGGTTCTGAGCATGGATGGGGAAGATACGATATGCGTTCTCCGTGAGTCATTATCCTGGCAATGATACTATGAACCTTCATGTAATGTTCTGAGAAAAGTTCTTCGGGAATTCCATCATTGATGCTGTGGATGGAACTTGGAAGCCTTAAAGGGGCAGTTGACATGGGGCTGACCTTCACACTTTGCACACCAGTGGCAAAAATGGCACTGACCAAATGACCAGTGATGTGTGCCATTGTTTCATGAACCACAAAATTTGGAAGAAATGCTTGTGACGAGCCCTATGATGAGGAGCTTGGGTGGGGTAGAGACATGCAAGTTGGAAAATTGTAAAGATACAGATTCATGGGGGACCAATCTGTTAAACGTGCTGCTGCTGCTGCATTGTTGTGAGAGGTGCTGACTTAAATGTAGCCAAGCTTTCCCCCGGAACTGGTGAGAAGTCTTTAGAAGGAGAAGTTTACATTGTGTCAGCTCTTGCCAGCTGGAAAGGTGATGCCAGGAGAAATCCAGGAGTAAACAGTGAATGCCTCAACACAAGTTATGATGTCTGTGATCTCCTGAATCCTTTCCACAGAGGAATAAACATTGAGTTTGCCATCAAGGTATATCTGAGACTTTAGAGTTTGTGCTAAACAGTCGGCTAGATTACCAAACTGGCTAGATCTGATCTTGGTCACCAGCTCTGAATAATAGGCGAATAACCCAGAGCCACAACGAATGGCCTTTTAAGCAAAGGAGCAGCACAAAGACTTTAGATAGATGGGACTGAAGACCCAAAAAGAAGGGAAGGTGAGCTAGGCAAGCCAGGCATACGTAGCAAGAGGTCCACTTGGGGCAGCATGAGCACCAAACAAAGATGGTGTTCCCACAATAGATGTGGTACATAAAGAAGAATTATCCAACGTACAATACCTAGAAGTTAAAGACGACACAAAGATGTTGTTGGAAAGGCTTGCCGAGGAGGACAACAGAGCATGAGTTGTATGGTACTACAACACGCTGAGACTGATGAACCATGTTCTGCCGAGGCATTGTAGAATGACCTCAATAAGTTCCTACTGAGACAGGATGAAGGAAGGGGAAGACATCACTGCAGCTGAAAGAGTCAATAAGCTGGTATCAGAAGCTGAGGTAACTGAAGAAATCTCATTACACTCCAACATGGTGGCTGTTGTTTCTTGAGTAGTCTGATCACCTTTGAGCCATTTTAAAATAATCACAAGCAAGAAGGAAAATGCTCTGGGAACCACTATAAACTGAGTTCCTACAACTGTGAAACTCCAAGGCTGAATAAATGCTCACTAAAACTGCCCAAAAATGCCAGAATGCTAAATCACATTTGCACATGCTGAGGGACAACTCAAAGTTTTAACTTATCCATGCAAAATCTAAAGTACTCCATAACTCTTTTGCCGGTATAGTTTGGAACTGTCTACCAACCCAGTTAAAATCCCTGGAAAGTTATTCATCTTTTAAAGCCAATCTCAAGAAATACTCAAAGACACGTTAAATGTTTGAAATCCTTTTCTTTCTTTTTATCCTTTCATTATCATTGTTGGTGTTTTAAAATGTGTATCTTTTATTTATTTATTTATTATAGTGTTTATCAATTCAGCTGATATACAGTAGGTTCACTTCAGCGTTTCGCTGCCTTTTTAATTAACCTGCTTTATCAAATAAAGTGTGCATGTATGTATGTATGTATGTATGTATGCTAGAATGCACACAACTGACCCTGCCACATGCGCATCTCGCAACACCACTGGCCTGTAAGATAAGACTGGCACTCCTTGTTGTTAATTCTGTTAAATTGTATTTGACTGCTTATAAATGTAACCTCTCGCCAAAAAAGTACTCGAGCTGCTTTCTGTTTACAAGCCCTTTGTCAACTGTTTGAATGGCTTTGTAACCTGTTGTTGGAAACATCAGCCCATTCAAATGAATTGCTTACCTGTTTGTTGGAAACATAAACCTGTTTGAATGGCTTGCTCACCCCCATTTCTTGGAAACTTCATCCTCCTCCAACAACTTGGTCACCTGTTCGTTGTTAACTTCAGCTGTTGGAATGGCTTGGTCATCTCTCCAGGTGAAGAGCAACGTCAACCATTCAAAAAAAAGTCACTTGTTCAAGTGGTCATTACTTTTTTTCAGTGTTTTCAAGATTTGCTCTATTGCAAAAGTTTGTCACTTTTTAATGCTTATTAAAACACTACCGGGCTTATTAGACAAAGAATCTAAGTTAGAGAAACCTATTAGTAAACAATGCATTTCAAAAGAAACCCATCAAGCTGTCAATGTTCATTGCACCTGTGTAATAACAACAGAGCCACCTTAATCAACAAGGCTTCAAGTCCGCTCTACTTCTAAAATCATTGTCATAGGTCATTGCAACCGTAGTAATAATGGAGACACTTTTAGACATGAAAGTTTGCCGAGTCTATCTACAGAGCCTATAAACTTGGGTATGCAAATTTGTAGTATGTCATCCTTTCAATGGATGGCTGAGTGACTGTACTAACAGTAGTAATGTATGATGATACATTCTTTTGTCACAGGGAGACTGGATAAAGGAAGGTGCTGTAGTTGTTGATTGTGGAATTAATGTCATTCCAGGTAAAATGGAAAATCGATCAATTCGATGACCAGACTCTTATTTTTCAGTAGAATTTTTCTAAGGATTAGATGTTGCTTGTATGGTGGAATGGTTCTGAATGCTAGCCAAAAATTACTTGAATCATGGAATCATAATTATGGCATTCTTTCCAAGTGAAAAGTTATTCCAGTTTACTAACATTATTGTGTAAATCCTTTTTACTCTGGTGATCTATATATTTTTATTTCGTTGTTTTTACATATAAGATGGTGTAAAATGTCCAGAAAATTTGCAGACACATGTAGCCCTAATTAATTATATTCATTTTATTAGATGAGACCAAGAAGAGTGGGCGTCGCCTTGTTGGTGATGTACATTTTAAGGAAGCAAAGCAAAAGGCAAGCTGGATAACTCCAGTGCCAGGAGGTACAAATTATTTTTTTTTGTTTAACCATTCAGAAATCAGGGTTGCTTTAATATTTTTGAAAATGCATTGTAAGCCGCAGGTCTTAATTATTTTTCAAAAGCCTTCTTTAAGAAGACTATATGCGAAAGAGTTTTGCATTTCAGGATGGCCTGGGCTTACCGGTATTATTAGAGAAGCAGTGTACAGTTCTCTCACCATCCCTCCTCTACTGGGGAGGAGGCAGCTGTTTACAAGCTAATAATATATTGCTAGGAGAAAAGTTGTCGTATTTGTTTTGGATGAAAAAAATGGATGTTGTTACTGTGGCAATGACTTTTCATCACCAGAAAACTTGATTAAAGAGGACATTCTGTGTATGAGTAACAGCACAATCGAGTAGCTAACCAACATCAGAGTCTACAGTTTACCATGACTATTTTCTGGGTCATAATTTATTGTAGCTTGTTCTTGTTGCTGCCAAAGTTCACAGGAATCAAATGTGTCATTATTGATGTCTGGTCTTGTCTCCTACATTATTTTTCAATTTGGCTAAGTTACAGTAGTTTTGTATTTGAGGGTAGTTTGGAAAATATTGCCCTGCTTAAATGTTTTCTTTTCAGATTTTGGGGGTATTTTTTATACTGTAGGTTAAAATTTACCCTGATGCCATGCTTCTCTGTGTAAGGAAAAAACAGTTGTAAAAAGAAAAGAATAACCTCTGTTTACCTTGGACTTAAGTCTCACCTTCATGTAGAGCGCAGCCTCAGGATGTGACCCAGGAGTGCTGCAGCTGATTGGTTTATATTTTTACAAACATGAATCAATTTGATTTGTTCATACAATTTAAAGATTAGAACAACCAAGGGGACAGTGAGGAGATCTCTCACTGGAGAGGAAAATTAATTGCCTCTCTCTTTCAGAACAGGAAATTGTGTGCAAAATATTGCTTAGGCAAATGCATGTGCTGTATATTTTTAAATACACATTCAAGATTTGCTTGTGTTTGACACGGATTCTGTTCCCAAAAGACTCTCATAAGAAATTTTGATCATGGTACCTGAGGAGCTGTTTTCAGTGGTTGAAAGTCTCACCAAGCATCAAAAGAAAGCCTTGCTTGCAGTCTTAAATCACAAGGTTGTGTTTGCTAACTGGGCTTGGGAAGTCAATGATATTTCAGTTGCTGGCATCGAAGAGTGTGTCACATGTATAAGTTACCATGGTGTAATGTTATCCTTTTCAGCGCTTGATTCTACAAGCCTGCAATAGTCATACAGAGTAATTTTGATTGACTTCATTGGAGTTTTTCTTGGATTTTCTTTGGCACAAACATTTTCGAGAAAAAAAGGCATTCAAACAATTCCCCCAGGTCTACCTTGTTTAAGAAAACAGTGGCTGATAATCACATGACTACTGTATTGCCATTGGTCACTTTTGTAAATATGCATTTGACATGTTTGACAGTTGTGGTCTGCATGAAAGAGAGATTCAAGTCCCAGGTATCAGAGGTTTTCCTCTCTTTTAAGGCCACAATTTACCAAGACTGAAAAATATATTTTGTAGCTTATATCTGTGGAATATTCAAATATTAATAATAAAGCATGTAATAAATAAATGACAATAAATAAAATTCCAACATTTTTAAACCCTTGACATTTTAACCTTAACCCTTGACATGTTATCCTTGAGCCTGGTTTCTTGACAAAAACCCACACATCAATCTTCCATGCTACATGAACATGCATAATGTTAATTTCTTTGTCCATTTTTTATGCCTATTCTGATAATTTGCTATTTTCGAACCATTTTAAAGCACTGTGTTGTAAAGTGTACCTTTTAGGGCTTTATAATTATTATAATTTTTTCTTTGAAAGGTGTAACTAGCTGAGTATTTATTTTTACTTTGAAAAGAAAAATTAAACTCCTCTGAAACTATTTTAACCAAAGAAAAAATAAAACCCCAAAAGGGTCAACACAGTGTTTCTTTGGCACTGACTATAGCTAACTTGGGGACATATAAGGGAAGCTTACGGGGCCAAGAAATATGACTTTCCAGGTTTGTTCCACTGATTTGAAGATCTGGACCCGCCACTGGCTAATATCACACTTGTGTTATATTCTGGTAGGTGTTGGTCCAATGACAGTAGCAATGCTGATGATGAACACAGTGGACAGTGCTAAGCGGTCTCTTCACATGCAAAAGGTTTCTCCTGCCTTGAGAATGGGCGTGTCTTTAGCTCCTTTGCTTCCTTATCTCAGGCGTTTGATACATTAATGAATCCTCTATTAATGCCTAAAATAAATGTACTGGAATGCTATTGTATTTATCACAGCTTCTGAAAACTTCAACCTCCTCTCTTTTTTAACTTTAACCCTACATGCATTTTAGCTACTTTCAGTTCCATCACTGGCAGCGCAACTTATTAGAAAATTTCCTTTTATTCTTGCAAGAAGATGAGTTGCATGACTTAACCTTTATTTCAAAACATATGACTTAAAAATAAGTCTGTGGAAAGATATATACTTTCAATAGAAAGTAGAGTCAAGTTGTTTGAGCAGTTTCTTTAAAGATAACAAAAAAAATTTCTCACATTTGTTTACACAACACTTTCTTTACTGGATATTGCAAGAAAATACATAGTTTTCTCTGCATCAAGAAACACAAATTACAGAATAATTGTCTTTTAACTGCAAGATGGAAAAGCATTTTAATGAATCAGTTCAAAAACTGATTTATTTGCTCCTAAGACTCAAAAAAATAATAATAATTATCATTACCTGTGTAGGTGCTACAGTGTCTTTTCACACTCATGAAACACCAAAAAGCTTGTACAAAGTGTATGAAATAAATAAGTTAATGCCTTTTAACAGGACTAAATTATCATTCCCTTTTCAAAACTGCTTAAATGACACAGTTTCAGATTGAGGACATGCCTCATGATCAGTTGGTGTCCCTTCCACATTGAATTTTTTGAGTTTGTCCTTCAGAAAGTTCAATTTTTGTGATGTTTCTTACTAGATTGTTGTGCATCATGCTGTTAATGCTGGTGTACATTTAGAGTGCAAGCATTTGCTTTTGCCTTTTTGACCCTTTTCCAATTATTATTATAGTCACCAATACAGTTACAATAAATTACAGATGTAAAATGCTATTACCAGTTTGAATGCACAAAATTAGGAGCAAAGACATTAATTTATTATTGATATTTTGTGTATAGTAGAAGTAGAAGTGGTAACAATGCTTGGATCGAGAACGCATGACTATAGTTGTGATGTAGTACAAATGTACTTGTTTGAGCCAGGGAAGGATCTGAGACCAGCCAAGGGTACAAGACAATTTTCCAGAGTATCCATTGCACGTAAGCATGAATTCCTGGCAACAATGAGGCATTAGGTGTGTTATTAAGTTGTTAAAGCAAATTGTTCACAACAGATACTGGTAATAATTCTGGTTCTTGCCATATTTGCCATATATTCATTTTTGTCAATTTTTTAGCCTGTTGGGCAGGTGATAATTATTGTTCCAGGGTTCTTAAGATGTATGTAATTTCCTTCTTCTCTCATACTGACTCTTTCACTTGTTTTAAAAGACTTAAGGGGTGGAGTAACCAACATCGTAAAACAGTGGGATTTTTTTGACAGACAATGAAAGAAAGACTTTTGATAGCCTCTATTATTATGATGAAAGGTAATTGTGTGTATTTTTATAAGATAGAAAGGGCAGTTTGTTTAGAATTTTTCCTCTTTTGTTCATGACAAGTTTGAATATACAGAAATATAGTGACTGCCCAATATAGAAATAGAGCCACCATTTACAGTGAAGGCCCCATCCTCAGTGCTTAAGGATGCCACGAAATAAAAAACAAATTCAAATTAAACTAGGCAAAGATTTCTTTTCAAACTTCAAAGCATGAGGCCCATGGTGGTAATTACAAGCAAACCATGTTGCATGGTAATGTGTTTTGTATAGTACTTCAACCAATCCAGACAAGGTGAAGACAAATTTCAAGTGAGCAAATGCTTTGTTATAATTGGCTACCTTGATAGGCCCATAAATCTTGCCTGCATGGGTTTGACTGCCTTGGCTTGTTTTAACAACAAAGGGAAGATGATAAAAGATGTTTTAATTGGCATCACCATTGTTGAATACAAATGTTGCCATGTTGCTATTAATAGATCATGTTTTACTCACTTCATCTCTTGAAATTTGAGGATAATGTGTGTTATATCTCCATACAGTAGTATGGTAGTTCACTGGAGTATTCTAAATGTTTCCTCTGTTAATTTAAATTGTATCATTTTGACACTTGATATGACATTTTTATCTATTGCAACCTTTTTGGAGCAGACACCCCTGGAATGGTTATCAAGGTAGCCCAAAGTTAGGGTGAAATAGAATTGAGATTTCACAGCTTACAAAGTATATGCAGATAAATCCTTTTCGCTGATAATTTGATATTCATTTGTATGTTCTAAAATCACTAGTTAGATTTAATTTAACTTAAGAAAATGGTTTCAACAAAGGTAACATTAACCCGCATTAAAATTTACCCCCGGGTGAGCAATATTCGCCTAATTATGAACTGGGCCAATTTTAAACAGGCATTCTGCAAAGTTGAAATTGTCTTCAGAGCTCGTATATAAGCTTAGCTTGATAAAATTCAGATTGGCTTTATCATTTTTTAAGGGAGGAGGAGCCGATGTCTATATTAAGTGGTCTGAAGGAAAAAAACATCACAGAAATGAGAATGATATAAAGATACAAAAGGAGTAGTAACTAAAGCAAAATGCCAATAAGTGGAACTGCTGTGTTTAAAGAGGAAGAAAACTTTACTAAAGGACCGTTAACAGTAATGGGGGTCACAGATCATGTCATATTACTTTGCCACTGTTTCTTTTTTTTTTTTTTCAACAAAATTTGCTTTAATCTTTAAAAATCTGTTGTCATTGTTTGAACAGGGTCCAATGTCTACAGTGGAACCTTGATATAACAAACCTCTATATAACAAAGTCCTCTGTGTTCAGAATGATATTCTTGACCCAAGTAATAGTAAGATATGGTGTATATGAAAGAGAACCTTGATATAACAAGACTTCATTATATTCAACACATTTTGCCAGTCCCTTGGCCCTTTGTTATTTTCAAGTTCCACTGTACAATTAGCGCATATTTGTGACAATGAAAGAGACAGAAGACGGTGCACAGATAGCCTGAGTCTGTATAGTGATATTGACAATATATGAGTTGGTGACTCGGGACCTAGAAAGTTACCATTGCCCTTGTTAACAAGAGTTCATATTGAGCGGGTTAATTTTAAAGAAAATATATGAGCTTTTTTTATGTGCAGGGATGAAGAGATTAAAAGTGATGAACATGTTAAAGCAATGCAGGGGTAATTTTTTTAAAAATGATAAACTTACAAATCTTAAGCTTATGGTTTTTTTGATCTTACATAGAAGCTGGGCGATTTTTCAGAAGTCTGTCAAAAATAACTGGAATTGATGGGTTTGGTTTATAGCCAAGAGTTTGACAATATTTGTGCCCTCAGTTGTCGAGAGCCAAAGAAGATGTTGCTCAAAATTCCATGATCATACATGAGATAAATAAGGGATTGTTTCAGTGAGCGGCCATATGTATAGTATTTTGGCAGTTTGATGATTTTATTGGAACAAATTAATGCTAGCCTATTAATCTTAACATTGAATGATGCATGATGTCATTGCAGATGTTCGGAAAGGAGGTGATTTCTCAAGCAAAATAATCTTGTAAACAAGTTGCATTCTTTCACATTTGAACTGTAAAAGGGGCAAAGTCCAACATCTTCACATGCAAACTGCGCGTGTGACAGTTATTTTTGAAACCCTTGTGGTAATTACTAGATTAAGACGTTTTCTCTGACGCATGAACCAGGGAAGCGGCAAATTCTAAAGCTTTCACATTCAAACTGCATGACAATACAACTCACGGTAAGGGCTTACATGAGCCTGGCTGGCTAGCTCTGCCAAGGTGAATTTTATTGCGGTATTACATGAACTGGGCCAACCCGGAGCTGCCATTTTTATATAGAGATTGGAAGCAGTGGGCATGAGCAGTGTGTTACCCACCGTCCTGTTTCTCACTTGGTTTATTCACTTGACCGCCCAGCAATCATGATTACTTGGAAAAATTCCAGCCAGGATCCCAGCTAACTACTGGGCCAGCTTGGTTGTCATGTAAATGCAAAGTTGATTGTTTTTGTGTTTAACTAAGGTGCCAAGGTCTCTGCAAAGCCAGCCCTGAGACCGGCTCATGTAATCAGGTCCTTAGTTTTATAGCCAGATTCTATGCCTCCCTCCTTGACCTTACCAATTTTTCAAAGCCCCCGAACCCACACACCCAAATTTTTTCAGTCCCCCCAAACATCTTCATACCCCCTTCTCCACATTTATAAATGTGCTTTCCCTTATCCACATACTGTCCATACAAATATTATCAAAAATAGCCGCAAAACAATCCTAAACAACATTTGAAATAGGTACAAGTATATTTCAACTATTGATAAGATCTTTCACAACTCCCACTTCACTTAAACAGACTGTAACTACATATCTGTTCATAACAAATGAGCATTCCAACAACTACTTCACTGCAACACCTAAAATCACTTTTACCTTCCAAAAAAGTTATTTTTTGTTACTTCATATCAAATTCTGATGAACAAACTACAGCCATATCCTACCAATCCACATCCAATATAATTCCATGGCTTCCACTTCACACATCTCAACCGACACCTGAAGGATACAACACTACTGCACAACTCACACTTCCCTATAAATACACATAAAAAATGTCACATATATACACGTAGTGCGAAGATGCCCAAATATACGCTCCCATAGCATCTTGTTTGGATTAGTTTCTCTTACGTCAGTCATGTAGTGTTAGCAGATTTTTAAAATGAGGTATTTTTTTTACTTGTAAACAGTTTGTCCAGGTCCTTCCCTTGCTCAAGATTTATACCTTATTGCTGGAGAATAAAAAGATCAAGAAATAAAAGTTTATACTTGTTAAGCTTTAATGAAGGAGTGTTTGTAATGATGTTTAACTTAATTGTAGTAAGTCAGTTTTATTGTCAATACTTTGTTGAAACAAAATTTTAACCACTATATTAATAAAACCCAACAAATTTGCCGGAGGATACTTGTGTACATTTATTTTAATTATTTGAAAGTGACAGTACTCTGATGAGCAAAATAAAATATATTTTGTGATTATCAAGTATGTTATGTTATCATTTGAACACAACCATTCTTTTGGAAATTGTCTTGTATCTCTCATGGTCCTCAAGTGCTGTCCTGGTTTGGTGCCTAGCAGGTAGTCTCAACTGTGGGAGGAAGTATTTTGGAAGAGCAAGTGTGCGCAGTAGTTTCTGGACTATGATCTTTGTGATGCAGAAGTATCACAGAAAGCTCTAACAAACATGAAAAATTAAATAAGTGCAGTTGGTAACCAGTTATTTTAGTGATTATGATGGGTGCTGAAAATTCTTTCACCTTGATCATGAGGCTAATTAAGTGGTGTAATTTTGAAAAGTGAGGTATAGTTATCGTTAAAAAGGCAATAAAATTGTTTGAACTTTTTTTACATTGTTTCTGCTCCATTTTTCAGGGTGGTCCTTGGGATATTCGTTATCTTCCACTTGATCTAAAAAGACCTGTTCCAAGGTAAAGTGTATAAGATATTGTTGAAAATATTATATGAGCATGGTGTTCCATATAGGAGAATGGTGTGACATTCAAACGCATAAACTGATTATTCTAAGTTGTACAATTGATTTTAACTAATCATCAGATTAATATCTTTCTCATTTCACTTAAACTGCCTGGCACTAAGGAGAATTTTACACTTGCTGTTTTTGTAGTGACATTGATATTTCCAAGCACCAGATGCCTAAGAAGATTTCAACTGTAGCAAAAGAAGCCACAATTCTTGACCATGAGGTAAAATGTTGTAAAAAGATAAAAGTTACAGCTCCTTCTTTTGCTTCGTTGTGAGGTAGCCTTCGTGTAAGGCATTTGACGGGAAATGCAAGTTTGGAGGCCAAAGTTCCCGGTAAATCTTTTTCGTTTCTTGTCGCGACCTTTTTGTCCAAATTTGTTTTATTTAATTTTGTTTTTCTCATGCTGTCAAGAAGGAACAGGAAACACAAGATATGGTTCAGGTGCCGTGATTTTCCTGCAAAGGAATTAGCTGAAGGTTTTAACTAGAGGTGCAAACTATGAATTCAACAAATAGCTTGGAGTTAATGAGGGGTGGAAAGGCAAAAGCAGTGACTTTGTTGCATTTCCTTCTCTTGCCCTTCATGGTCTGGTGCTCCTTCAGTGCCTCTTTTCCTTCCCTTTCAAAAACCTGCTACCCAGGCTATCTTTCAAGTGAATGCATTTCCTTTTGGATTAGGTAAGGCTCCAACCACAGTCCTGAATACTGATATCTCAGCTTTTTGAAAAGTTACAAGCGACTAATTTTTGTCACTTATATTATGTTTGCTTGATACAGTAAAAACCTGTATTAAGCGGACACCCTCGGGGAATGCTGTAGTGTCCGCTTAATACAGGTTTCGATAGATAACGTCATAAGAGACGTCAAATGCCATTCAAATGAATAGTAAAAAGTTAAGAATACTCCCAGAGACTTTGACGATATACGTTTGCATTAATTTCTTTATCAAAGTGGACCACTTGATCATAGTACCATAAACATAGATTGCAACTCGGATTTGAAGAAATCAGATGAGTGAAACAAGCTCAGCTCTGTTCAAACAAAACGAAATAGAAAACAATACTGCAGTGTGAAACTAAGTAAGTTCGTCAAGTGACGATTTTTATGTAAAAATCGAAAAAGTTCTGGTTGACGATTCGAGGTAATCTTTCACATTTCCGGTGTCTGGCATGTCGGGTGGTAGAATTTGATTACAAGTGTCCGTTTAATGCAGGTTGGTAACAATAGAAATTACTATTTCAGGTACGTTTTAGGTGTCCGCGTCCGCTTAATAAAGGTTTCATTTAAAGTAAATAAGGGAAATAAATTTTGGGACTTCGGCTACTGCCCGCTTAATACAGGTTTCACTGTATAATAATGAAAATAATCCCCTCCAAAATATGTTAAAAAAAGCCTATTTTCAGTTGTCAGGTATATATTAAGGACCTGGGTGCTTAACTTAGGGCATTACATATAGCATAATGCCTGAGCGCTCGGTCATTATTTTTAAGAAGGCTGAGGAGCGAGGACATTAATTATATATAGGATAATGCCCTCGCTCCTCGGCCTTCTTAATAATAATGACCGAGTGCTCAGGCGTTAACTTATATATACAGACTGATAGAACTACAACATGATCAGAGTTTTGTGAGACAAGTGGCCAGATATACACACACAAAATTTCTATTAACAATTGAGCTACTGTGTGAATTGTCATATGAACTTCAGTGTGAAATGTAACTTGCCATGTAAATAAGGTGCTTTAGGTGTTGCACACTCTACTGATGGTTACTTATTGTGCTACCATTTATGGTATGTACATTACTCAATTTTAATTTTTTCTGTTGTGCTTCACCTTGCCACCAGTTTTTCTCATTTTGGTTGGACCATGTAAGACGTAATACAACTGTAACCAGTAAGATCATTTCTCTTTTAGATTGAACTTTATGGGAATAAGAAGGCTAAGGTCTCACTAAATGTTCTGGAACGATTGAAGGACCAGTGTAATGGAAAATATGTTGTTATTGCTGGGTAAGAGAGGTTTGTTTTTTGGATGGATTTTGAAATGTTGGTTCATGCCTTACCTCATTTTGAACACTTACAACAAGGATTCTTGTAGGCACCTTGTTATGACTCAAATCTTTCCTTACTTGCTATAGAATGACTCCTACACCGTTTGGAGAGGGGAAGAGTACAACAACAATAGGTGTGGCTCAAGCCATGAGTGCTCACCTGCACAGGAACTGCTTTGCGTGTATTCGACAACCTTCTCAGGGCCCCACATTTGGCATCAAAGGTGCAGAGTGTAATTTATTGGGAGCATAGTGTACAGTGTTTTTTTTGTTTTTCTTTTGAGAATGATAGGTGCTTCAACATAAACATTAAAATGTTAGAGGAAAATAGACCTCTTCACCTTACTAATCTTGATTATAACCTAAGATCAGGCTCTATTTCCGTTTCCCTTTGAAAATGACATTCCAGCGGGCAAGGTGATTTTCCCCAATTTTCAGTACATAAATCTTTGAAAATCCTGGAGAAATATATCGTGAACGTTTTCAGAGGTTTTTTTAATTATCTCAGAACAAACCAAACGAGTTCTCAGGTGCATTAACTGATTTAGTCCCGTGCACACACTTGCAATCTGCGAGTTTACTAGAGTACAAACATCTAAAAAAATATGCTTTTTTCTAAATTAATCCATGTAAAATATTATCTGCCACTTTGGAAAAACGAAACAACACTTATAAAACTGCGTGCTCAACTGACCTATAAATAACACGAAAAACAATATTACCAACACACTTCGTAGTTCTCCGTAGTTGTCAAAAACTTGGCTCGCTAAATTTAAATTAACAAACAGCAAACAGTCAACGAGTGAGGACACCACTTTTCCTGGTTGATTTTTTACAAAAAGCGAAGGCAAACAACAAGTCTGTTACCTTAACACAAGTGCCACCAGCTTTTGTAATAGTGCCTGCAAAAATTCCTTGAACACAGATGCAATGTTTTTCGTCTAATACTTCACAGTTGGCGATTGAGGTTTCTTTCACAACGGGCTTCCGCTTGCGTACCTCGTTCAGAAAAGTCATTCCCGGCTAAACTTTCAAATAAAACCACCTATAAGATTGACAGAATAGACAGTATTTTGATTTGCACTCGTTTGTTGGTAAATCAAAAAGCATTTTGTTAGCGGTCAACAACTTGCAGAGGGATTCAACTCCACAATACACTCACATTAGTTCCGTAAATAAAGCAAATCCTGAGAAGATATGAACAACCATATGAACAGTTTTAGCCAAACTGAAGAGGTTTGAATAAACGAAACTTGTCTTAAGGCTAAAATAAAGGCTAGTGCGTAAAAGACTATTCGTAAAACTCAGTACAGTTGTTATGAGAATTATTTCCAAGTCTTTCGAGGTTTCAGCAAGAAAAGTTACCCACAGATGTTTAGAAATAAAGATACTACTAGTAGTATTACCAAAATAAGAGACAAGATGTATTTTAATTCTCACTACCATGGCTGACTAACTGAAACTTTTCCCTTACATTCCTGGTCAACTACCTTGGTTATTTGCTTTCAATCAATCAATCAATCATTTATTTTGACACGTTACGTCGAGGAGTTAGAAAACTTGTTCAAAATACAAACGTGTATAAATGAAATCTATAATAATTACAGCTATGTTATAATATCAGTTTATTTCAACATCCATTCTGTCATTCATAGTCATTCTTCTCCTCATACTCACTGATATATGCTTTCATATTTTCATGTTCCCTTCTCCCTGTTTGAGCGTAGATATAATTCACATTATTAAGTCAAAGTAGTAATTTAGAAATCTGTCCAGAAGAAGCATATTATGTTAGTTGTTTTATCCATTATTGCAGTAAGGTCCTCCAGTGTAAACAACACCTATCCAAGTGTACATGTACAATAAATGAGCAGCAAATAGTCTAATGAACACCTGTGTTTTCCAAACAGGATGTGTGTTTGTACATACTGCACTACAGGAGAACCATAATGGGCCATTTGCATGATGATATCATTTACTTCTACGACCAGCATCCATCAGGGTTTTCCTTTCTTGTGCAAATTACGGCTTTTGTCATTTAAATCTGGCTGGGATTACCAAATTTAAATATGAAAAGAAAAACGAAAAGGATTCTGGTCGTAAAAGTAAAATGACGCCATCATGTTAATGGCCTATGTATATGAGTTATTAATTTTTTTCCAACAATGTGATGGACTGTTACAGGTGGTGCTGCTGGTGGAGGGTATTCTCAGGTTATTCCAATGGAAGAGGTAAGTTCAAAGATTTTTAGTTAATTCTGTGACAGTATTATTGCTAAAACATTTCTGATATGCATTCATAAATTGGTTTGTGTGTCTATTTAGTTCAATCTTCATTTGACTGGTGATATCCATGCTATAACAGCAGCAAACAACCTTTTGGGTAAGACAATTTTAAGTACTCTTCTGCATGTAAAACAGTTCACTGAAGACCTCTGGTTCCTTAAGGATGTTTAAAATGTTAAAAATAGAAACTAATTCAAACTTAATTGTCATAACCAGCACTTATGCCATGAAGTTTTGCATCGGAACCCTTCTGATTGCAAGTTGTGTGGCTTTTACTTTGCTGTAATTACCTTCAGTACAGTATGTGGTCCTTGGTCCGCGCAAGTCCCCGATGCCCTTGATCCGCGCCTTTTCCGAAAATGAGAAAATATTTCGTCAAGAAAAAAAATACGTTGAATAATGAAAGATATCGTGATTTACTGATTAGCATTCTTTCATATGACGAAGTTTCAGCCTTCTTGCTGCGGGTGAAGACGCGAAATTAAAGTTTGTTGAAAGGTAGGTTAATTTGTCTTTCTTGAAGTTTGGATTTTTGCGGCACCGTAAATTACGTGGTCATGTTTACTTAGCCTGCGAATAACTAAAACGCAACGGGAAGACTTGCCTTTTTGCACAACAGGTTTTCAGATCAACTTATTTCTGTTGTTGGAAGCATGTTGCTGTAGACTCTGAATTTTTTGTTTTAGCGACTCTTGAAAAATATCACCAAATTTCGCTTAGCGGTCCTTGGTCCGCGTCCTACGACCTTGGTTGAATAAAACTTCCCAAAGTAAAAAGCGACGGCCTTTGTTTTCGAAGAATGTTTTGAAAGTCGTCCCTATACATGTCTACAAGTTCTCTTTTTTAATACCTCGAGTACATACAGAGTTTTTGGTAAATATTTTCGACCGCGCTAAAAACCGCTCGTCGACGCTCGTGTGGGAGACTCGAGGAGAATGTTGTCTGAAGTCTTTGAAAGAAAAGCAGATTATTTTATGCTCACAACATCTTCCGAAAAAACTTTAGCTTGATTGCATCAAGAAAAGAAAAAAATACAAGAAATACTGTGAAAATCACGTTTTCGTGTAGAAACTATAACATTTTTACGTTTTTATCGTGCTGCTTACCTGAGACGCGGACCAAGGACCATCGAAAACGGTCGTCTTTTTGCGAATTCCAAGCAAAATAATTATGTCTGGAACTTGAAACTTCAGGATTATCGACAGGAACATAAAAGCTATCTTCAGGGAGTATTTCAGCTCGTTACATGAAGATTCGGGTAAGATATTCAAGTTAATGACTTTTACTCGCGGACCAAGGACCACATACTGTATACGTAGTTTTTAATTTGACATAAAAAGTATGTTTCTTAGGCACAGAAGTTTATTGTTGGCATAATAAGCCTTAAGCACTACTTGAATTTAACTCTGTTCATCATGAAGTCAGAGCAAATGCTTCATTGCTGTTTCTCTAGCTGCTGCCATTGATACCAGGATGTTTCATGAATCTACTCAATCAGATCAGGTACAGTCTTTTAATTTATATTTTTGTATATAAATTATCAAACTTAATATGACCAATGTGGAAATACAATGTAAATGGCATTTGGTTCCTCCTGTGCTCAAAGGTTACATGAGATATTTTTTGACAAATGCTCCCAACCTTAACTGTTACGTGTGAAAAAGCACAAAATATGTAATCCTGACTAATTTAAAGAATGTAGTAGTTTGCTAGAAAAGATTATCCTAAAATTATCATTACTGGTTTAACGAGGTGATTAATAAATATTATGTGTATCTCAATTTTTAATCTGGATTTCACTATTTGATATACTGATGCAAGTCTTTTGTATGAGGCAGTAGGTCAATCATAGTTTAATATATGTTGTGGTTCAATTTTATCCCTGGTTTAAATTTTATTTCCCATTGTTTTGGGGTCATTATCATACATTACCTTACCCCAAAACAAAGGGAAATAAAATTTAAACCAGGGATAAAATTGAACCACAGCATATACATGTATTTAAATAATGTTGGGATGAAAAATTTATTAGAGGAAGTAGTGCAAACATCATTTTGTTTTCTTGTTTAGGCCCTGTATGATCGACTTGTTCCCGAGAAAAAGGGAAAAAGAGAGTTTTCCAACATTATGCTCACAAGACTCCAGGTATGCCATTTTGTTTTAATTTCTGCCCTGAAAACAAATTAATTTAACTCATCAAGACTCCGAAGAAGCAAAAAAAATTACAACATGTAGTTCCTGACAGCAGTTGCTCACACTCACCGTTAGTTTGGTTTTCAAGATTACTAGTCAGAAGACTCAAATGTGAATGTTGCTTATGCCCTTATCTCCCATTGCTGTGTTTAATTTAACAAAGTAAGATGAACATACAGCTGGAAGATAGCCATTACCCCCAAGTTTTCAATAGCTTACTCAGCCGCAATGAAAAAATCAATGTACATGTTAATCACTGTCACACTCAACTTTGCCTACTGAAAGTGATTTTTATGTTTGAACGTTATTGTTCATTCCTTTTTAGAACAAGAGTAAGCTTAACTTTTGGTTTTCATCTAATATCATTGTGTGGCAGGTTAGTTACAAAGCACAAGATCGAAAATTAATAGAAACTTTTCTGTTTTTATAGAAACTTGGAATTGACAAAACAGACCCCAGTGAGCTGACAGATGAAGAAAAGGGAAAGTTTGCAAGGCTGGACATTGATCCAGATACCATAACTTTCCAGCGTGGTAATTAATATATAGCACTCTACAATACTAACCAGATTTTCTCATGCAATATTCTATTGTTGTCTCTGTTTTGTTTCTTATTTCTCCTCTCTTTGACCTTTCATTCCTATTTGAGGATTTGCCTGATCTTCAACTTCAACCTTTGTTTCTTTTAAGTGTGAGCAACTTTTGAATCAGCGTCATAATCCTTGAAAAATAATTGTTGAAATACATTTTTTCGTCCTTCACAGTGATTGACACAAATGACCGATATTTAAGAAAGATAACTATTGGACAGTCACCCACAGAAAAGAGTTTAACACGGCAGGTAATGACATTGTATCATTACTATCAACAGGGCTCGAAAAAGGTCAGTCAAGTAGTCTGGCCGGGCAGGACAAGTAGATTTTCTTGCTGGGCAAGTAACTTCTAAAGCTCACTTGCCCAATGGCTAAGGTTCAAAGCAAATCATCTTGGTCATTAACTAAGACTGCCCCTGGCGGCAAGCAAAATGTTACAGCTGCTTACCCAAAGAACAAGCTGGAATTCAATTTTTTTTTCGAACTCTGATCAGATGTTATAATTTTCTTTTTGATAGCATAACACAAACAGACGATCAAATCCGTTGTAGAAAAGTCTTCATTTTGCAAGTCAAGATTAGTCAATCCACAGATTTCAAAGTTACAGTATTAGGAATATTCTTAACGTGTTTGTAAATGGAAACTGTTTTCTAACGCAAATGCATCTGATAAGATTAAGGTCTTTACTGTAGGTTTTTTTTTTTGCTTTATGGAAACTTACATGAACGTTTTGTTTATGTTAACAAAATATCTTGCACTCGCCGCTTTTAGCTTCTTCTTATTACCGGTAATCAGACATTCTACTCCCTGCAGCCTTTTTCTGCAGTACTTATCAAAGATGGTATCCACCTCTTCAAAATACCGAGACCTTTTCTCATCTGTGCTGCAGGCTGGTCTGAATGTATTTTTTGTTCCTGTAGACCCAGTTTGACATCACTGTAGCCAGCGAGATAATGGCTATCTTGGCTCTAACAACAGACTTAAAAGATATGAGAAAGAGGTTTGTTTAAATGTTTCTTTCATTTCTCTACCCATTATCGTACAGAATTGTTATTTATCTACAGGTAACCAGGGAAGTATTTAAAAATAAAGTCCTTTTTTTCTTCTAAAAAATCTGTTTAGGTTGATTAAAATCATAACAGCCGCAAACGATAGATCATTTCGTGTTTGTAAACAACAGCCAGCAATAGTTTTTTGTGTGTTACAAACACCAATAAAAAACCGGGCTAGGTGAGCTTGTATAGTTTCATAAGAAATTGTGCCTTTTACACCAAACAAAGTTAAATTGAAATGGCCTGGTATTTCATTGGTATTTGTATGAGGAGTATAATGCTTAAGACCAGCTCCTTGCTTTATAATCTACAACCTTCCATGTGTGAAATTTGTCCTGTTGTTGACTTAAAAGAAAAGCTTGGTCCAGTTCAAATTTGTTTTTTTGCTTTCCAGTTCATTTTTTAACTTCTTTCTCCATTGTTGTCAAGTCGATTTTGTTTCATATTTCGTTTGAGACTTCTAAGAAGTCTGAGTGGTGGTAAAAAGTCGTGTTTTAGTTAAAAGTTTACAAAGTCACTCCCAGCAATTTCTGTTGAACGTTTACCTGTCGCATTTCGGTCTGTTCTTTTTATTATCATTATTTATTGTAAGGGGGGGAGAATTTTTGAGCCATTGCATACTGCAGATTTTGAAAGGGTTTTATTGTTTTGTAGGCTTGGCAACATTGTTGTGGCAAGTAGTAAGACAGGAGAACCCATAACGGCAGATGATATGGTTTGTAAACAGCTAAAACACACCTTGCTAAGATGGCGACTGCAGTCTAACCTTCTTTTTACCTAGATCCATATTGAAGAGCAAAGTATAGGATTTTAAGTTATTGCACACTCATTTACAGGTGCAACAACACAAATATTTTAAATGTAATATTTATGTTGTTGTACCTGCACGTGAGTCCTTTGATGTGTTTCATATGATTGAATGGAGTATGTTGAGGCGACAAAATGGTGCAAGGGTGCCGTTAACATTCATGTGTATAATTTTACTCTGCAACGGAACATCAATTGAGTAATTCGAAGACAGCAAACATAATAAATTATTTTCCGTTCATGCATTACCAAAAATGACTCTGTAACATGATTTGAAGCATGCCACATATCCCCAATATACTTCCTCTTTTAATTCGGCATGCTGCACTTGTTGTGACTGCTATTCTTCGAGGGTCATGTTTTTCTACATATTTGCCAGGTGGGTTTTCCAGCCATTTAGCCCTAGCCTTAGAATATTCACTTTGCTTCCTTTTTAGGGTGTAGGTGGTGCACTTGCAGTGCTTATGAAGGAAACAATCAAACCAAACTTGATGCAAACATTGGAGGTAGGGCTAAATATTAGAAATATAGATAAAAGACTTATTTCATTACAATAGCGCATGTTTTAACGTTTATCGAGGAAAAGACAATATCCATACGGGCCTCCTCAAGTTTCTAAACTGGATGCATACTTAGGAGTTTGGGGCTCTCTGCCAGAGAACTTTATTTGGCTGTTTACAACTTCGCCTACTATGGAGATCGCTTCCTTGAATATCCATTTGCAGTGATCTATTACCCTGTAAGATTTTGGACGGAGGTGTATGTATTAACGCTTCTGTGTTCATCGTCTTGCATTTTCTTTTTATAGGGAAGCCCTGTTTTTGTACATGCTGGACCTTTTGCAAATATCGCACACGGCAACTCGTCCATTCTGGCTGACAGGATTGCGTTGAAGCTGGTTGGACCAAATGGATTTGTTTGTACGTAAAACATAATCACCATTCGGAAAAAATTATAATCAAAACATAAAAGATAGACACTGTTTATTGGCACTGTCTCTGTTATGTCACCATAAGTTTAATAATATACTAATAAGCTGTTAATTGGCTTAACGTTTTGAAGTTTAATATAAAAAGAAGTTTTCAGTCTTTGAAAACTTGTTGGCGTCATTTGCCAATGTAATTTTGTTTGGCTGCAAAGGGTTTCAATGCAAGGAAGGTGTCTACATCTGTAAACAACCAAATTTGCCTCTCTCTAAAAAATTTATGTATGAGCCCTTAAGCTATGGGCAAAATAGGTGTGTTGTGGTTCCAGGTTATCCATGGTTTATTTTGTTTTTCCTTCTTTTCGAGTTTTGGAATGTATGGTAATGTATGGTAAAAAAAATTCAACCAAGGATAAAAGTCAAACCACAAGGGAGACAAGCTTTCAGTGTTACAGTGTTGAATTTCTGTGATCGTTTGGATAGAAAAGCTGTAGTTATGATTTGTCGATAGTATCCAAAGGCCCCTGTTAACTAATCGTAACAAATGTTTGCACACCCACACAATCCCACAACTTGTCATGCTTGAAGCTTGCACCCATTCTTCTGATAATTAATTCTTCCTTTTAAGGAAAAATTAATTAAAATATTTTGGAGTGTTAGCTAAGTGCAGCATCTCCGTTTGTGTGTGAGAAGTCGAGGATAAGATGAACAAGAAAATAAATATATATTTTTTCACTCTCTCAGTCACTGAATCTGGCTTTGGGGCTGACATTGGAATGGAGAAGTTCTTCAACATTAAGTGCAGATATAGTGGTGAGTTTTTCAACTACAAACACGCCTTTACTTTCCAAGGAATGTACGGTGAATGTGCACCATTCTGATACATTTGGTTTATATAAGTCAAGAAGATGTTTATTACTATTACTAGCTGTGTTTTACCGTAGTACTAACAGCCTAATGAATTTGGAACTATCGGGTGAAGTAAAACGTCATCAACCTAAACTTTATAGCTTTACTCAGCTTCTTACTTAATGTAAGGCAGACTTTGTTTATTTATCTGTCACTTACAGGATTGACACCTCAGTGTGCTATTATAGTTGGGACTGTTAGAGCCCTGAAGATGCATGGTGGAGGACCAAAGGTGATTAACTGAAAATCTGGAAAACAAGAGGAACAACTGCTTAGATTGTACTGGCGTGACGTGTAACTTATGAAATACTTCACCAGTGAAATTCCTTGTTGCTTTATAGTTTTCATTTTTCCAGGTGTCAATTCAGGTAGGGATAGTTTATCTACAGTACATCTACCAATCTCAAGCACCACCCTTTTGTAACACCAAGTGATCAGGTTTTTGTGCTTGAATTGGCAAGCACGGAAGGAAGTAGGAGTGTTGTCTGTGATAATTTCACTGTAGTAGATGCAGCCACTGTAGGCATGTTCTAACCATACGTCATATTATTTATTCATTTACTTTCTCAATATTTATTTTCTGCGTAGGTTGTTGCAGGAAAGCCGCTACCCCCTGAATATACCTCAGAGGTTAGTTTCCTTTTTAACTTTCTCTCCTCTGCTATGCAGTGGCAGTAATGATTATCGTCTGAGTGAAACTGATGCCTAACAGAATGCCGCGGCATATTCAGTACTAAAATGCAGTTTAGCGACCGAGTTGAAAGCCAAAGGTGATGCCATATTATTTTAAATCGTAGAAAATGAACGAAATGTCACCATAAGTACGCGATGAGGGAAATATTGTTTTGACTAGAGTACTTGTGCTTGCTTGAATAAACATTTCTTGTTCTTGGTCATCAAAGTAGTAAACTGAATAGACAGCACAATGAAGCGAATGGAATGAGTTCGAAACGCTTAGTGCAAGTTACTTACCCATTGTCCGAGTTTTCTTAGTGTGGCCTCGAAATATCTTTGAGAAAATGTTTCCTTAAAACAATCTGCGCTCGGTAATACTAATCTTTGGAAAACTACATGTAAGAACGGTTGCTGTGCATAAAACTGTTTCACTCTCTTTTTTCACTTGACGTCAATATTTTTACACCTCTTTTAATGGTTTAAAGAGTCTAAAGGAACGTCCCACCACTATTTATTAATTAAAATTATAAGTGACAAGCCATTTGGACTGAGTGTTGAGGGCAAATAAGGTGAGAATGTCATCGTCATCATCAAGTGGGTAACATTGCAGGGGTTTGGTGTAGTCACCAAACAGTTTTTGTCAAAAGCAGTCCTATTCAGGATTACACTCACCCAAAAATAATTTTAACTTCTTTGCTGTTTGTAAGGGTGTTATTGTAAGAGGAGGAAAGCAGCGAACCAGGCTATTCACTTGCGAACTTGTAGACTGGACGTCAGGGTCCTTCCTTTTTTTCCCGTCCCCTGGACGAAAAGAAGTGAAGGCTTGCCTTGAGTTTCGCTGATTTGTTTGTTTTCTATATCCTTAAAAACAAGGGACCTTACTGATTTGTCTCATTTTGGCACAGAACCTGGACCTCATAAGAAGTGGAATTGTGAATCTGGCCAAGCAGATAGAGAATGCTCGATTCTTTGGAGTTCATGCTGTTGTTGCTGTCAACAGATTTCCGTGAGTGATATTACAAATGTTAAGTCCTACTTTTTACTCAGCTTTGTTGTGCGAGTGATAATTTGTATAGAACGTTTTCACTCACGTGGCCAGCATCTGTGCAAATTTGTTGGAACGAGAGAAAGCGTTTGCATAAGAAAAGAGTTCAACTCCCAGAGGATTGGTTTGGGACACCAACATGGCCGCCGTTTCATTGTTTGGGACACCAATATGGCCGCCGTGACGTCATGTGAAAACACTCTATATTTTAGTTACAATGGCAGACCTCTTACCATAGTAACTCTTGAAAAGCTTTTTTACATCTTAGCCATGAGAGGTCACGGACTTGTTTATTAGCTCCTGGCTGGAAAATTCTAGTTTTTTTGGCCCCGTCTTATTCCTTGCTATGGTTGCTCAAAAACAATTGTTTCAACATCTTCGTTTTACACCCCCAACCACTGCTAGCTGTTCACTCTTATAGTATATTTGAGGCACATTCGTCTGGAACAAACCTCGACTAGCTCGATCACTCGTCATAAAGTTCATCTAGTATATAGACCGGAAATTACTTGCTATACGTCTGGTAAAACGTTCCGCTAAAGTGCGTCCTAAAGGACGCAAAACTGAATCTGACGGAAGAACGTAACTTGATTTTATTCGTCAGGACTGATACAGATGCAGAAATTGCTCTTGTGATTGAACTTGCTAAAGACGGAGGAGCATATGATGCTGTGGAGTGCACTCACTGGGCTGATGGAGGTAAACTCCCTACCAATTTGAGCAGGCACCGCCTATTGGTCTATTTTGGGAGATTATCAGTAGCTTCCAGAAAACAGATGACATGTGAAACAACAATGGAAATTGGAAGGCTTTTAACAAGGCCGAAAATAATTTTAGTGATCCTAGAGAGCAGCCAACTTTGCTGTCACTTAAAAAAGTGCCAAAGCCAAACAGGATTAAAATCAATTAAAATGGTCCCAAGTAATAGGATGTTTCTCACAATAGTTTTAGGTGAAATTTGGGTGTTTTGCCTGCCAAAAAAATCGTTAAGAATCGAGGGTCGTCCAATACACCCGCACTGTTTGATCTCGTGGTGATCAAAGGCGCAGAGGCGATGCTATACATAGGTTAACACTGTTGTTGATTCTCCCCTTGCTTCAACAATTTTTTTCTGCGGGTTGTCTGGTTCCCCTCTCTTCAAAAACCAAAATTTTTTAAATTCCAATCAGATCAGAACCATAACTAGCCTGCGAACAGCAGACATATTTACGGTCGTCGCTTCTCTCTTGTTCGCAGGCTAGACTATAACCTCAATCAGGACTAGTACCCCACGGAGACTAGCATGGCTAATAGTGTAACACTTTCGTGTGAGTGCCACAGTGTGCTAAAAAAGTCCTGTTTGGTGATAGTCATTGATAAAATATGAAAGAAACGTTTGGACTTGTAGACACTCTTGACCGCTTACTACAAGTTTGTTTGTATGTTCTCTGCGCAGGTAAAGGCGCGGTTCGTTTGGCTGATGCTGTGCTTAGAGCAGTGGAAGAACCTGTGGAGTTTAAGTTCCTTTATGATCTTAAGGTCAGTGGGATAGCGCTCTTCAAGCGCGTACTGGCTATATTAACACTCGGTGGTTGACGAGATTAATAGCGGTGCGATGATCACCAAATTCTCCACTAGACACCCGGAAGCTCCATGGAAACTCTTCAAACATTGTACGGAAGGCCATAAGTTCGATTCATGATAATTTGTTTAATGTTCAGGTATACCAGAGTGATTCGAACTTTCCATCCTGCCCTTGGCACGAATATTTCTCAACGTAGTGAAACGTTTGACCAACAACAACAACAAAACAACAAATTTTATTGAAAATTGGAAAATAACTAATTACATTACTTTCCCACCCGCAAATAGCTTATGAACTAATCGAGGCGGGGGGAGATGAAGACATATTACAAAACAAGATTTATATATAGATGGACTAAATAACAGTGAAGACACTACAATACAGTAAATAGAATTTAAACTAACATAAAACAAGGCATGTACATAACGATTACGAAGAGAGGCTAACCTAAAGTATTAAATAACTTAATAAGACGGGAGACTTCGACATAATCATCTTCTGACCGCAAAAAATTTAGTAATAATTCCTTTTTTTTTTACGAAAGGACGAACGTTTAAGTATTTTAATCGAATACGGAATAGAGTTCCAAATTTGGACACCGATTCTCGTGAAAAAGGCATACATTTTATCGGTTCTAGAGAACTTAACATAAAACGAGTTGCTAGAGACAGATCTTGTTCTGTAGTTATGAATCTGACTTGTTTTAACGAACTGATTGAGAATACTAACTGGTGCTGTCTGTCTGTTGATATCATACAATAAATAGCTACAATCTCTGAAAAATATGCTAGGCAGGGGAAGGCAATTTGATTTGAGAAAGAAGGGTACGGGTGACCTTTTGCGACATGAGACAACAAACTATATGTTGCTAGAAAGGGCCTTATTTTTATCGTTTATTACCTCATTACACTGATTATGTTCGTTCTATAACCCCTGTGCCAAGTAGTGTGGTGACTCAATCATTATTTTCAGCTGCCAATAGAAGATAAGATGCGAATTATCGCGCAGAAAATTTATGGAGCAGATGACATTGAGTTGCAGCCTGAAGCACAGAGGAAAATTGAACGATACAAGAAACAGGTGAGAAGTTAAACTCATCATATCCTCCTGGTAAGGTCTTTGAAGAGCTTGCTGTGACAAAATCACTCTGTCTATTTTCATTCACAATGCAAGATTTAAGAACTATATTGTGCAACACAATATCATGTAAAAAATTTGTAATTTGACAGTTGAACGCACGGACACGTTTCAACGAGTTCTTATGAACTCCTTAGTGCTCCGTGGGTAAACAAATTACCATTTACAATTTTTTTTACACAACAGAAACCAGAAATCCGTGTTTCCATATACATTTAAGAAGTCAAGGACTGTCAATTACTGTACTTTTTTAATGGATTCTGTAACGTGCACGTTAATGTAATGCCTATTTGCACCAGCGCATGAACAAAATTTAAATGGTCTTACATGTTAATTTAGTATGTTTTTTAACTTCGGTCTTGAACCGTCCGAATTTTACTTTCTGCAGGGCTTCAATGACTTGCCAATATGTATGGCCAAGACGCATTTGTCCCTGTCGCACAATCCCGAACTGAAGGGATGCCCCAAAGGTACGAAGGCATTACCACTAGTCACCAGGCACAAATAACGACAGCACCTTTAAACTGCCATTAATGAACTTCAAAAAAAAGATGACAAATTGAAGAAAGAAATGTATATATAGATAAGTAGAGAGCTGTTACCCTAAGAGGAAACCTGTGATGTAGACACACCTACAGTAAAACGAACATCTCTTTAAGGTGGATACCCCTCTAGCGCGGACAACACTGTTAGGTGTACGCTCTTGTAATGCCTAGACAGGAAACTTTCTTTATTGAGGGGAGCCCTTAATATCTCTCGATAATCTACAAATGGACCGATCAGGGAGGGACCTCAGAAAAAAATGAACAAAACAAAACCAAAAACAGTCACTCAATATAGAGATTCATAGGTAAAGACTTGACGAGCAACTAACAAAAGAATTGGTTAAGTCAGTCTTTTAGCTCTGCACATAGTCTGTTCCACTATCCTGCAGCACTAAACATAAACATACAGCGCCGTCTATATGACTGCTTTAGTAACAGGAAAAACTTCTGTAAGGCCTCCAAACCAGAAAAAAGGACACTGTTGTAAGAAGGACATCCCTGTGTCTTATCAAAACATGACATGTGAGAAGTACCACTTCCTCTGGGAATTTAAACACCTGCGCTCTTAACCTATCGTAGCTGTTTCTTTTCTATTTTTTCCTCAGGCTTCGTCCTCCCAATCCGTGATGTACGAGCTAGCGTCGGTGCAGGATTTCTTTACCCGCTTGTTGGCACGGTATGTATTCTTTATCATCACCGATGTGCAGACTTAACCCTACGTCTCCTTGCAAAAAACGTACACCTCTAAAGGTTGTAGTACACCGAGAAATACACTCTCGCCAGTAATACGTTCATTCATGGGAAAAAAGGGATGCGATACAATGGTGTCTGTGTTTTCGATTTAAGGCCTTTAGGAACCACGGTGGCGACGGCAATGAGGATGTCAATCCATAAATAGGATAAATTTATTTTTGACACTGCACTTCCTAATGTGATGTTATGTAGACGATGTTCATATGGCACAACGAATTTTCCTGTGTCTTGCTTAACTGAGGTGCACGATGCACTCCCTTAAAATTCAGCTCTGGAAATTCGCTACATTTAACGCGTTTGAGCGGTGAATTAATAAAATTGCAGTTGTTATTTCAAGACCATTGTCAAAAGCAGAGAAGTACAACTGCGCATGACTCCCTCGATGATTTGAAGGTGATTAATTTAAAGGATGGCCATGAATGTTCTTTCTTTCTCAACAAGAATCGCCGAAAGGCGATTTTTAACTGGGCTGCCAAGGGGCTATTTTTTCTGAAGGGAGGGGGCGGCTATACACACTCAGGCTACCATAAAACCTTCTTGGCAACCATTGCATGCAACAGATCGGAATCTCATGTGAGACTGAAACATAAACTCATTCAGAACATTGTACCCTTTTGAAAGACTTTCGTAACCAAGTGGGGGCTGTATAATAAATTTTAAATTCCACCATTATGAATAAAAATAAACAAGTTAGCCATTAAAACAATTTGCGTTATTTCCACGTACCCCTCCCCCAATCCCTCTGTGCCCCAAAATATAGCGTGACAGTATAACATGACTAATTTGACGTAACTGGAAATCCCAAAAATTGTTGTCGTTCTACGAGCATAAAATGCGACAGACTGAGCTGATTTACATTAGACAGAAATATTGTATTGTATGAAAACCAGAAGTATACTAAAACAGACAGTTAACTGCCCATTGATCCCGCCTGATCCAGGGGCCTCACTCACTGCACGGAGACTTTGCTGCGCTTTTCACAATCATGCGAACTCTGAAGTTCAAAAGCCACCTTCACAATTGTGTTTATAGCTGCCGTCAATCATAATTACGATCACAAGCAACGAACCTTGAAACAGAGAAACACACAAAACGGATCGAAATCCACAAATCACAAATCATGACCTTTTGAACCCGTGAAGTAAACTTTTGTTTCCTAAGAGGTCCGTTAAGATGATTGACAGCAGCGAAAAACGCAATCGTCGGTTGGCTTCTGAACTTCAGAATTCGCATGTTTGTGAAAAGTGCGATCCTAATTTGCGGTCCACAGTCTACAAGAAAACGCACTATTTTTTCCACAAGATGAAAAATATTCAGTTTTAAGATTTTCCTCATCGTATTTTTCTCTAACTTAAAGGAATAAAATCCTTTGCATTTTGAGACCTAAAAAAGTTTAAAAATTTCTCGCTCGCATGTTGCGTTCACCAGCACGCACTTCAAACAATGTATTAAAATAGATGAAACGATCGATAACATATTTTTTACCTGATACCGATGCGAGTTAAGAATTCGCTCCAGTTCTGTTTGTCTCACCCTTGACGAACTTTTCTTCATGGAAGATAACTATGCCGCTTTATAACTCGTCCGAAGTTTTTGTGCCAGCTAAACAATATGGAAACACTATTCACAGTGACTCCTTGGATATTAAAAAGACTGAACGTAACGCACTATTATGCCTTTGTTTACTTCTGATCACATCTTCAAGCGAAGTCTCTCTTTTCAAGCGATTCATCTCAATGCACAATAATTGACCCTTATATTAGTTAAAACCCTATGGTTCATTTATATTAATGCTGTTTTTGCCCCTCACATTGACTGTGTTCGTTTGTATTCAAAACACCTTTACGAAAATAAAGGTCGTATAAGTCATGTGTGTTATGTTTCGAGATAAATGGATTATACGCTTTTTTAAGTTTCCATTTTGCGGTGACTTCAGTTTACATCTCCATAAAATGCTAAAAGAAATATCAAGAAACATCACGAGAGCTGAAAACTTTCAAAGGCATGTTTCTGAAACTCACTAATGCTGACATCAATATAGCGTGCTTTCTGAATGGGCGAAAACACAGAATTGTGATCACAAGATCATGTACAAATTTAATGACAAAAGCTTAGTAAGATACAGATACAAACAAAACCAAACCCCCTGAAACCTCGACGTGGGCTACACTTGAAGGCTCTACTGAGTCACCAAACCTTGTCAGTCATAGCTCCTATTTTCCTCAAGTCGCTCTCTGTGAAGCTCCCGGATGGGATGTGCCGGAGAAGCTTTAAACTTGTGTGCGAAATTCTCAGAGTCCCTATTTTTGTCCGTGTCTTCTTTATACTCAGTATCCGAAATTTAGACCTCCAATGTGGCGTGTGTTGCATTAAATAGAAGGAAATATCTAAAGGAAAAGCCAGTCTTCTAACATGGTAAAGTTGTCACGTCCCTCGCTCATGGACGTGCGTAGTGCCATTCATCGGCAACTGAGTTGTTCGCTTCACTGACTACGAAGGCTTACAATCAAGTCTTCAGCCATAGTGTCGTCAACTGGTGAAATACTTTGCTCATAAATTGTGCTTCTTAATTGGTCATGTACTACATCGATCGATAATTCTCTCTTTGAGTTCACGAAGCGGCCACGGCGTTCCAAACCTGACGCTCACAGTCATCTTTTAGTGTAAACCTACTGTGAACGGCCTGTCGGTTTAAATGCAACGCGAGCATTTCTCTGAGTTTCCCAGCGCCAACATCATCTAACTGACTTAAACTCGAACAATAAAAAAAATTATCGAGTGACTCCCATGGTCGAATCGCTTCGAACAAGGCAAATAGCTTTCTTCAGGTTCGCAACGCCTTGTGGGTTTTTCAGGGGGAGCGCAGACAAGGTACAAAAAGTATCCGTGCAAGGCTCCGTGCAAGAGAAACTCATATGAAACCATATGTGAAAACATTGTTTCTCGGAACCAGACCCTCGTGTCTTCCCTCCCCCGGGAGACCACTTTTTGACACCGACGACCGAAAGCCCATTTTATGACTGGGCGCACAGGCAGCCCAGTAATTATCTCGTTAACTTTAACGGCGAAGCGTTCTTTTCATAATTTCTTTCGTATGCATTCCTGGGTAAATGAAATGAAAGCAAGTGCCCTCTGTTCAGCATGACTATTATGCGTAGTAATGCTAATAGGCCTGAGTGGAGTCCAGTGCGGTCTGTAATCATACAAGTGGTTATAAATATTTAAGAATTATCCCTCGAGCCCGAATGGGCCATGAGGGCGAGAGGAATAATTGTTTTAGTAAAATCAAAGTAGTTGGTCAAAAATATCGAGAATAAAAAACTTTTAGCTAGTTAAAGCTAGACTTTAATCCTTTTTTGCCGCCAAAAAGTCCGCGCTTTTCGCTACTAGTGGGCTATAACATATAGCCTAGTAGTACCTCAACCAATCAGAACGCAGTATTGATAATAGACCGCTAGTTGGATTTTACTAGAAACCTTTATCCCTGCTTCCCCATGTCAATTTTCCTATCTGTATTCTAGCACCTCTGTTACGACTCGTAATAAGAATAACTTCCCTTTGCTCAGGCAGCTGAGTTCTGGACTAATTTTTTAGTACCTTAAATGTTCCATTTTAGATGAGCACTATGGCTGGTTTACCTACAAGACCTTGCTTCTACGACATTGACTTGGACCCAGTCACTGAGGATGTCCTTGGTCTGTTCTAGTCTTTGCGAAATGCCACTAGATCGTCCGCACACAGGCGTCAAAGCAAGAACCTTTTTTGTTGTTGGCATATAGGGGACCTATTTTAACTTTGAAAGGCAAAGATATTTAGCATCAATCTAAGCAGTAGCAGTGGTGATGATTTCCTTTATTTGGATTCTTCAACTGCATTATACTTTTGGTTGATTTCTATTTCAAGTTTTTCCATTGCCATTTGCATGTTATACACGGCCATCGTACGATGGATATTTTTCCGCTAGGATCGAAACATTTCAGACGATCTAATACCTATAGCCATTCAAAAAACGTGTTTTGATTTGTTCATGTGATTCAGTTACAGATTTGAAAGGCATGGCATTGCATTTGCATAACTACTACCGGTCAATACACGAGTTGCTGTTGTTAATTCTTGATAGCAACCTTGAAAAAGATTTTGCCATTTAAAAGGATTTTTTCAGCCTGCGAGCAGAGCCTCGTTTTGTCTTTTTCTTAAGTGAGGAGGAGAAAAGGAGTTCGCCAAAATCAAGCAAGCGAAAGAAAGGCTCTGCTAGCACGGTAGATTGCTTTTTGAGTTCCAGATGGGGCCTACCTGTTTGTTTGATGTAAGAAATAGATCGTCCAATCACACAGGGTGGGAAAGCGCAGGTAATCAGTGGTCTACTGACCCATTTGTTAGGAACCGTACTACTTTATCAGAGATAGGTGGAGAAGGTGTTTGTTATTGTAGAACTCACAGCTAAAAGAGTGTTCTTGTTTATTTTTGGTACAAAAAGGAAGTCATCAAAGGAGACTTTTTAACTGAAAATGAAGTACTGTACCTTAACTATATTGTCCGTGAACGACATTTAAAAAAAGTAAACATTTTTCCAGGCAATAGTCTTGATTTTGCTTTCCAGTGAAACATTTTGTTGAAATATTTCATGAGTTAATTGTGAAACAAAACAAATTATTTGAGGAATGACGATTCGAAGTTGTGAAGTTACGGTTAATGGGATCCTGTCGCACCCAGTGAGAAGATACACACTCGTAAAGCTTTTGTTAAGAGACCTTTAGCATCAGGTTTTTCATGGTTAATTGTAAACGGCAAACTTGAAGATGCCACGTGATCGCGGTCGCGTTTGCAGTTTGCAGTTCACTTTTGAACGGTAGGAAGGGCTTTCAGCGGTAAGTGATTTACGGCAAGGTTTTTTCCCATAAACAATCTCACAGCCTCACGTTTAAAGGCAAGAAATAGTTTTCTCTACCTGCCTTCGACTTGCTAGGTAGATATTTGACTTCTTCATGTTTATTGGCCGGTATAAGTGAAGCACCTCGAATGGAAAAAAAAAACAACTTGAAGGCACGAAACAAAGAACGTCTTGCTAAATTCGAAACCTTGGCAACCTGAAACTGGAAATGCCTAACCGCAAACAAAAGTTGGCGGTTTGTGGTGTCCCATAAAAAACCTGATGCTAAACAACTAAAGGTGTCTATTTTGTGAAAGAAAACATTAACGGCAATGACGTCATTGTCGTACCTTTTTGTCTTTATCTCATAAATAAAATGTGGAGGAATCTCATTTAGATATGGTCTTGAATAGTAATAGGCCAAGAGAAATAAGACCTCTATTGATCTACTCTTGGTTTAGTAGGCATAGGAATAGACATCTGATCCATGATAGGCATGTAAAGCACGTGAATTTGCACAATGGATTACTTTAATTAAAGCGAAGTCTGTTACTTGTCACATTTGATGTTTTCAGTCTTAAAATAAGTCTTCCGGAGCACTCGCATCTCAAAATCACGCCAAATAGAGTGGTGAAATCACGAATATCGGTTAATAATTCAAGTTCTTCACGGGTCACGCAAAACCTTCAGATCACGAATCACGAAGAATAATTTATTAAATTCAAGTTTCACGGAAAATAAAATCAGCCAATCACGCATCACGGAAATACCCCTGTACGACCCTGGTCTTCATGGTTGTTGTGGTCATTCAGTGTTTAATCTCGGCCGCGTTTTCGCGTCAGTGACGAGGAATACTTCATTCTGTCGAAAAATAAAATTATCGTCGAGTTATGACGCAAAAATTGTACCTCAATCGTGGTCATTCTGGTCATTCTTGCCATCATGGTCATAGTGGGTTCGAGTCCCGCTGCATTTGTTCTTGGTCGTCCGAGTTCGAATCCTTGGCCACGCTTGTAAATAGCCAACTGGTTGCCGTGTATTTATACATGCGTACAGCCTGCAACCGCAGACGTATTTAACACGCGCACTAAATCAATTCAGAAACAAATACAAGTATCGAGGTCGATAAAGTAGGAAGTAAAAATCCTTAAGCGAGTAAATCCCGTTTCGTGTAGAATTAATCGCCTCCTCATTTCTCGATGTAATCTCCAAGGAAGCGAGAGTGAAGGCCGCTGTAAGTGCGTTCTTGTTCCGACAAGTATTGCCCTTCTGATAAGCTTTGCATCTATGAGTGTTCTTCATCTGACGAATGTTGCCCTTCAGGAGTGATGACGAAGTTCCTTTCAAATGGACTTTAATAATGTTAATCGCATATAAGACAAACTTCAAGCAAGGGGCACACATACACTAACGCACGGCCTGACCGCTACCTCACAAATGCGCACAGCCATATCACCCGGGCAGTGGCAGCAATGGTCAGCCCCCCCCGGGGACGTACTTAAGGAATTTCTGGGTGGGGATGTGCCGCTGGGACCCTGGAACCCTTAACCTTTACTAGAGCTAGTTCAGCTAAATTTTGGTACCCTATACTAGAGTAAATTCCCCAAATCCCCCCTATCCTAGAGTAGCAGTTTCCCTGGTCGAGATAAAATCTTCAACCAACTGATCAATTTCCTGAAAAAGGATACCCTATTCTAGACCCAAACGCTCTGATTTATATACCCTATCCTAGAGTAAACTGCTTGAAAACCATACCCTTCACAGCGGCACATACCTATATATGGCAGTAACCCCCCCGCGGGACAGCCCCTTATTGGGGCTCATCAGCATGGCATAGCCGCAGTTCCCAGCCGACAGTTCCCACACGTGTTGTGTGGAGCTGTCGCTTAAAGGAGTGCTTGCACAGTAAAGTTAAGGGTCTTTTATACACGGGGATTTTCCCCGTTCATTGACCCGACGGCTATGCCATGCTGATGAGCCCCAATGAGGGAGAAACAGCTGTCCATGGCTGCCACTTATCATAGTTTTAATCTTTATATAATATAGTCACTGTGAGGTATTTTAATTTTATTCCGATAATAAACTGTACTTAGCCTGGTAACAATAGTTATTCTATTCTCTGTTGCTGTAATGTTCTGCAATTTATTATAGAGGGACGTAGACTCATCAGGGTTAACTGTTATCCTTTTTACATAAAGGTTATTACTATTACTATAAACACAAGGTAGCCTTTTTGTCTTTAGCCGGACGACATGAGTGAGCTTGGTCCCTTCATGACACCTCCGCCTTCTTGAGCGGGTAATAGGCGGCGAGGTCTGTCATGAGATCTTTCAAAATGCTGTGGAGTACCGGGAACCCTCATCTTATCCTGGGTAATGCTGTTAATACACGATAAGAACTTATTTGATGAATGGGAAATGAAAGGATGCTACACTTGCAAATACTTCTTTTACTTTTGTGCTTTCATTTGTTCTTAGTGCTTAGAAATGGACCTGATGTGCCAGTGTTACTTTATGTATCAGTTAAATACAACTATTAATAGGTGACACTACAGCTGCCCCCGCTCTGTTTATAGTATTCTTGCTCCTTGTGTGGCTCTTTGAAATATACCGATTCATAATGAAGATGTTCACACATATTCCATACAATAGGTGAGATAAATATAGGAAATAAACGCAATTTCGGTTCGATTTACACAGCTTTGATCAAAACATAATCGATCATTCTCAGTTTCAAGAATACTTTTCTAAACCATAGGCAAAGATTTAATTAGAAGTTTAATTTTCCGCTATTTCTATTTCACTTTTTACATTTAGTTCATTTCATTTGCCGGAAAGTAAGCCTTAGAAATTAAAAGGACGTTTGATCAATTCACGCTCGCGCATTCTAGTCTTATTTTAAACTTTATAGCGAAAGGATATCTGTGAGCAGGGAATAAGTCAGCACAGAATTTGATGGTCGGCGAATTTCTGTAATCGTCGATCGTTCTTCTAGTGATAAGCTAGCCGCTGAATCATTCGCTTGTCTTGCTTGTTTTAGGCTGAGTCTTATTCCGGTCAAAGAGAAAGAAAGAGTGTCTGGCAAGGTTCAGCTGAAGGTTTCCAATCAAAGAATTGTGAACTCGTGTCTGGCAAACTCACTTAGTGTTAAAATATACACTGTCCTACGCACCTTATAACTTCATCTGCGCTTAACGAGTGTCGTCCATAACTTTCATAACAACTGCTCCACGGAATGTCACTGATAACACGTGACGCAAAAGAGTATCGAAGTGTGACTGCACAATTAATGTCACAAAATCTACCTATTGTAAGCTGTTCCTTCGGGATTTTTTGTGTTTTACGTCATCCTAACCATTTCGTACTTGCGGGCCCAAACAATAGAAATGTCATCATTACCTACCGATTCCTCGCGGCCCCTGTTCAACCAAATCGAGATTTTTTTCTATATAGACTGTGTGACTATATTTCAACTGTAAGTACTTTCCTTAATATACGCGCGAGTTACTAGAGTGCCTCCTCGGGATTTCGCCTTCTGGGCGAAATCCCCGCGGGGGCAATAATTTTCCTTAACCGTAACTGCAGCAAAATTCTCAAATCTGATTTGGTACCAACTGTCCTGATTTCAGCACTATCATTGACCATGCCTAACACGATGAGCCGCAAGCAGTAAAATTTCTGTCCCGTAATTTAATCAGTTAAATCATCAAAGTTGACAGGTCTTTCTGATGATCAAAGCGACCGTTCGGTTTACCATTTACACCTTCAGTGCGAAGACTGTCACGGGAACATTAACACCTTCAGGATAATTGCTTACTATATAACAGTGGTAGGTCGCGCGCGTCTGGTCGGTTTCGAAGAACGTGATCGTGACTGTTGTTTTCATTCAGTGACTGTGCGCGTTGATATGCCAACGTTTAAAACAGACTGCAACATTAATTTTTTGTTATAAAAGCAAAGAAGCTGCTGAGTAGAAACTAAACCGTCCCAGACTTATTCCGTTTCATTCGTGTACTTTCATTTTGATGGGGTATGTATGATGAATTTACTTCTAATCAGGCACGTAAACAACATAGAGATAAAACATTTCATTTTGCTTTTGTGGAGTAAAAATTAATCTTAAAAAAGTTAAACTAGTGGACCACTTTCTCCGCGTACTTGTAAAAATAGGCATTTAATATGTCGCGCTACAGTGCGAAAATCTTCTTGTCGTGGATTAGATTTCAGTATACATATTCTTCATTTCGCGCCAGAATAAATTAGTTTGCGCGCAAAGGGCTTCTAAAAAAAGATCACAGGGTTTGTCCCCACGCCGAGTCCTCCTTCTGGAGATACGTCGGCATGGTAGCTGGAATACATTGCCAAGGCGAAGATCTGGCATTTTTTCCTCCTCGTCTTTTTTTCTCCGCGACGTTTGTTTATATTTGTAGTGAGAATGCCGCGCATATCGGTGGATTTTACTTCAGTCAAGCGGCCTCAGTTCCTGCGGTTTGCTACTCATCATAAAGAAGAGTGCCGGAATCGCTTTGTTCGCCTTTAACGGATTTGTTGTCGAATGCAAGGTAAAAGAACGGACTACTGTAAGGTAAGAATTGAAGTTTAAATTTGTTTCTCGGCGAAAAATAGTGCATACAACTCGTGAAACCCGTGAGTATTACCTCTGTTTAATATACCGGATGTCATGCGATGACCCCTCGCTTTTACGATGGATAGGACAGATACAAACAATAATTTCTTTCGCAACGTTTAGTATCATTTACTTAATATGGAGATCATCTGAGGACGATTTTTCGTTATATATGCTTCATTTCTTGGCTTATTCCGGCTACGTGCGAAGAATTAGATGACAATGTTTGTGTGCTATAATTATACTGATAATTTCTTGCACCTTGAAACTCATGAAAGCCAAACTTGTTTAACCCTAGCAAAAAACTCTTTTAATGGAGAAACTCAACCTGATAGTTGCACTAAAATCTAATAATTGTTACTGCATTTGCATGCTCTCTGTAACCTCGTGGGTAGAACATACCTGATGGTTACATTAATAATAATCACTGCATTTGCTCTCTGTAACCTCGTGGGTAGAACGTACCTGAAGGTTACGTTAATAATAATCATTGCATTTTCTCTTTGTAACCTCGTGGGTAGAACATACCTGGTGGTTACATTTAAAATAATAATCACTGCTTTTGCTCTCTGTAACCTCGTGGGTAGAACATACCTGAAGGTTACGTTAATAATAATCATTGCACTTTCTCTTTGTAACCTCGTGGGTAGAACATACCTGATGGTTACATTAATAATATCACTGCATTTGCTCTCCGTAACCTCGTGGGTAGAATATACCTGACGGTTACATTTAATAATAATCACTGCATTTGCTCTCTGTAACCTCGTGGGTAGAACATACCTGAAGGTTACGTTAATAATAATCATTGAATTTTCTCTTTGTAACCTCGTGGGTAGAACATACCTGATGGTTACATTAAAAATAATCACTGCATTTGCTGTCCGTAACCTCGTGGGTAGAGTATACCTGATGGTTA